AAAATAAGAAACTTAGAATTAGAATATGTAGATCAGATTTGGTGCACCAGGGCAAGGAATCATTACAAGTGCATAATCCGAAGCCTTGAAATTTAAAAATACTAAAATGTGAGTAACAAAGCAACCCAAGTATTCAGTGCATTTGGCAAAAAACTGATTTCATCACTGACCTTCACCATCGTATCCCGCATAAAATCATATTCAAACCGCTTTAGCTGAAGTTGAAGTACAGGAGGAAAGTCGATAAATAAGACACCTTTCTTTGCATCCTGAAATGAACAGAATTTCAGCACACAATTAAGAAATTTCATTTCAACTTAGCTAATTACATTAGCCTTGTTTGTGCCAGCAGAATGTTGCTTTAGTCAACTTTGATGGGTCAAACCTTCAAACAATAACTTCAAACCAAAAATAAATTTTCTTCACTGATGAAGTCTAACCAAAGAATAAACGGTCAAACATAGCCTTTTCCATGCTTCATTCAAACCATAGAATGTATGGTCCCACACTCCCTACATTGAAGCAACATTGTTGGCCCAGTTCCTATCATCTCAAAAAAATAACTAACCTGTAAGCCATGCTCTTCAGCATGATATTTGTTGTCACCCTCAAGGCGCTCAACTTCCACATACTTGTCAAAAGAAGCATAAACATCACGGCAACCTTTGACATCAAGCTGAAGGTCTGCACACAATATGCACACTCAATGTTTGCTTTTCAGGAATACATTTCAATATTTCAAACTAATATGTATAAAAATCAGTAAAAAATAAATACCATAAAATGATTCCTTTCTTGTAGACTTGTAATCCACATTGATGCATTCAATATAATTCATATGATGACCTTCAAACAACTGCTGTATTGTCCCCTCTACAACAGTACCCTGAAAAAAAAAAAGGGAAAATCAATAACATAGTTTAATAAGCAAACACCAAGAGACAGAGAGATAAAAAGGTAAGTACCTTCATTTTATCTTCAAGCTTTTCACACAGAACTCGATTGAGTTCTTGTACATCATGTTGCATGAAAGAATCATACGTATCCCATCCAAAAGATTTGGTTAATTCCTTTGTCGCAACACTAGTGTCATTATATTGAAGCTTATAAAATAAACTCTGCAGAGCCAAAGGAATACTTCCTATAGGCATGTCGTTTTCAGTTGTTGGCATGTGGTACACTGCCTGAAATTGAACATGGAAAAATGAGACGTTTCACTTCAACTAAAGTAAAGAGTATAAGAGCAAGCATAATCGAATTAAATATGAGACAGAATCCACACCTTTCTGAAGTATGGTATATGGTATAGAGTCTGTAGAAGCGAGTTCATGTAACAAGTTGCTCCTTGGTTCTTAAGTCCTACATAACCAGTCTCTTTCTTTGAGTCATATGACCAATAATCCAGTATCTTACGAACAGCAACCTCAGCTTCAACAACAACAGTATCATTCACAAGATATCCTCTGCTAGGGTCATAAAGATCGCTGAGAGGCATAAATGAGGTGAAACCCCAATCACTCTCTCTTGCATTAAACTGGTGTTGAGTGTCTGCAAATGAAAGTTAAAAACAAGGCACTAAATAAGTTGTAGATGATATCTTAAATACTTGGTTGCTGTGCTATAGGAATGACAAGAAATAATCTACAATTCATCTATCGCACAGGTTCCTTTCTTCCCCACTATAATCAACCACTCACAACAAGACACCAGACTGCTCGCTATATACATGGCAAAAAATGATATGATCAAGAAAGAAAAACATCCAAACCATCCTATATTGGAAGAAGTTACCAATTTTGCAAAACATTGCAATATTATTACCCTTTCACACTAATTCTGCTCTTAAAATTTGACCAATTGGAACATAATGTGGATTATGTCAACATAAAATAAAATGAAAGATGTCACTAAACAACACTACGCTCACCTATTGAGCAGTATAACAGTTTTAAGTACACTAAATTTTCATTTTCATCAAAAGGAAGATCCTTATATAGAAATAAGGCACTTTTGAGCATCATGAAATTTTCATTATCATCAAAACCTCTCTAATTTTGAAATTTTACGAATGTTACAACAGATTCTCCTTAAATTCCTACTTCCGTTTTAGTCAAATCCTCTCAACATCCAAGTAAAATAAATAATGAATAAATACATAAATAAATGAAACCAAATCTTGAATCTCCTCATTGTTGTTTCTAAGCCCCCAGCTCTGAGAAGAGCATAGTTGTAACTAAAACAAGTTCAAAGGCCGCAACATCACCTACTGTGACAAAGCCAATGAATGAACGCTACATAACAAACACACAATCAAGCACTGACTAAACATGCAAGAAAAAAAATTCTTTCCGGGAAATGCAAGATAGCATTAAATTGAAGCCTCCATAAATCACAATAACAAAAGCAGGATTTTCCCAATAAAGGCTGCAGTTATAAATAATTACTTAAGACAATAGGACAAGCTTAGTAATAGTAAGAATATACCCTTTCTTATAGAATACTTGTGATGGATCTGATTAACAACCGCCAAGCTAAACTGAGCATATCTACTCCAACCATATGGCAATGTAGAAGAATCAGCAACATCAAGGTACATTGACAAGTGATCCACATTGTTTCCCTTTGGAAAAATTAGTATCCGCCTACACAAATGAACCAACCACACGTCCAAAACTCAATCACATGAGGGATTGCGGCAGACCGAACTAAACATATGCCAATAACGACAAAACGAAAAAGCTTTCGCTTTACCATTTATAACCACCAACAACAAATATATCTGAATAGTGCTTCTTGGTATTGAGCCTTGCAAAATTCTCAATTGTCCAAGTGAACTTCATTGATGGAGGATCCTCCACTTGCTGATTCTCAACCGTACTAGCCGGCTCAACTTGAGCAACTAAAATTAAAATAAATCATTAAATCAACAAAAAAATCTCAAAACCCTAAGACACTACTAATCAAATATTATTCCATACTAAATTGAACCATAATTACAAAAAAAAAAATCATTCGGATCAACCTAAGACTATCAACAAAAAAAAATAATGTGAATTACACTAAACTCAAATATTCCAAAAAAGAAACCTTCCATTGGCTGAGGTCCTTCGATTATATCCGAATGCGGCACGAGCATCTCCTCGTCTTCTTGCTGTTTCAAAATCCAAACCTCCAAAAAGTCAAATCTCTGATCAACCAAAACCTAACCCTAACTCTCTCAATCAAAACCCTAATTATTACACTCTCAATGCATTAAAAAAAACAAAATTAATTCCACGAAATTCACGTCTACTTAATCACTTCTCAATTTGAAAAGTAAAGAAAACTTCAGAAAATAAAAAAAAGCACTCTTTTAAACACTTCCAACCAAGAAAAGAAAAAGAAAAATAGCAAAGTATATATTGAGAGTGAAGGGAGGAAAGAGTGGTATGTACATCTAACGGCGGAGTAGTCATCATAGTCATGGGTGGAGGGAGATGTAGACCGCCCGATCAGAAATCGGAAAAACTAAAAGCGATTAAAAATCAGAGAGGAAAATAAAATAAAAATAAACAGTGAATTTTGGTGAAGAGAAGGGGAAGGGAAGAAGCGGGCACTGCAAAGCGACTCGACAAAGAACTGGTGCAGAGAAAAAAGCCATTTGAGTTTTACTTCAACGGGAGGGGTATTATTGACATTTTGATGCTGAAGCCGGGGTGTTTTCGGGAATACAAAAAGCTGGATTGGGCGGACGCGGGGATGGTAACAAGCAAATAGGAAGAAAACACGTGGGAAAGCAAGTTGGGAGACGCACGAATTAGTGACGTGGCAGGTAGTGGAGTCACGTGCGTGTGGTAAGTCGGGTGACAAAATCTGCGCTCGCTCTCTCACTCTCGTCGGCTTTCCTAGTACGATGCTATCCCTCTTTTTTATTTTTATTTTAATAAATAGCAGCAAAATATTTTATAGATTGAGATATAATCAGTTCAAGATCTAAACTAAATAAACCCTAAAATTTGACACTTAACTAATTTATGTTTGTTTTTCTTTTTTTATTAAAAACCATTAATTTTATTTTCAAAAAATAATTTTTTATTTTATTATTAATTGAATGAAATATAAAATATTTTAAACTGTGTGTAAAAGAAAAAACACAGAGTAGTTAAATGTTAGGTTTAAATTTGAAATTTTATTCTTTCTCAAAATATTAAGTACTTTTTTATTTTTACTGTGCTCAATAATAGGATTTTTTTAATTTAATTAGTTAAAGATAATTATTAACGAAAGAGGAAAAAAATGATTCATTAAGTAAATCTTTCAAGTTCCAATTCTATACCTTCTCTTTACAGTCTTTGCCTTTTTAGTACCACTTCAAATAGCTTCCTTTTTTTTTTGTTCTTGGTATTGTTTAATTGAAATTAGAGAAAATGAATACATGGAATGAAAGGAAGTTAGCTCCTTATGTATACATATGGCTTGGGATTTAGTCTAATGATTATTAATCATTCTTGAGGAGATTAAGATCCAAGCTTTTTATCTCTCCTTCATCTTACCTTGTACGTCGTCGTGTTTTTTTCCAACTTCCGGCCCCACCCCAGCTAGCATGGTCATATGATCAAATTAACACTTCCCCCAGTCTCCCCCGCTCAACCAACATACATGCGCCGCCAAAACACACTAGTGCTGAATAACAAAAGCTGATCGTCATCATGATCTCCCGGCCTACAAATGCTCTTTGCTTCGCTAGCGTTTGGAATTTTCTACTCCATGCATGCCACGTTTCCTTCTCTGCCATTGCAAACCTCCACGTTTAATTCTCAACTTTCCAAGTGTGAGATCTTGCAATCCAGAAGCAAGTAGATACCCATCCACCGTCGGGTTATTTATACGAAGATGGATTCAAGAACTCTCTTTTATATGTATATTTATAAGGGACTGTGCTGGTTTTGGTGACGGAAACAACGACAGAAAAGCTGCAGCGGGCTTCGAGGCAATTGGACAGGATAAGGTGAAAATTAAAGATGAGAGTAATGGTGGGTATTGACGAGAGTGATGAGAGTTTCCATGCTCTCCAATGGACCCTTGATAGCCTTTTTGACGGTATCAGTACCAGAACTGCACCCCCTGAAGAAGCCAACCAGGAGGAGGCTGGTAATTTGCTCACTCTACTTCATGTTCAGCAGGCTTTCCACCACTTCGGCATCCCTGTTGGACCAGGAGCCTCAGGTCAGACGCATCGGACCCTGCTATATATTCCTTTTTACGATCATCTCTTTTCTCTTTCTTTCTTCGAGAATCAATTGTTCCGGAGTTTCAATTCAAGTTTCTACACTATCAGCAAATGTTTCTCACGCAGTAGACGATATGAATAGGCTATATCCAAGTTTTCACTTGACCAAATCACTATGGGAGATATTGAGTTACTTTTCACTTTTCAGTTTCCTTGATACCAAGCTCTGGGGAATGGGCATTGAAAAGCATAAATTACATAAACTAAAAACACAATTTATTTTCAATGTGATTGTTCTTTAATATTTTTTCCTTAATATATTAAAAAAGCGAAATTTTAAAGATTGCACTCCTTTCGTCTCATTATTTATTTGTTTATCTATCTTTTGAATGGCTCCAAATTATCTCCTTTTGGTATTTTTGAACCTCTAATTATTTCTGTTAGATTTTTATAATCTAAGTTTATTTTTCATTTTTCAGTAAAATTTAATATAAAAACTTTAAAATGAAAAAGCTCTATCTAATACGCAAAAATCAATTATAAACAAAAATTTTGAGTTAAAGAGCACTGCTAGGTGAATTTTAAAAAATTATTATCTCACGTAAATATGTGAATAGAAATTAATGTATGATTTATATAAAAAAATTATGAATCATTTTATTTGAACATTTAACTCACTGATATAAAAAAATTAAAAGTAAATTTAAAAAAATTGTTACAATAATGTTAAATTTTTTGCTTTAATTTAGTATTTATATATCAGAAATATTTTTAAAAAAAAAACATTTTAAATATAAAACTTGACATCGTTGAGTAACTATTTGTGTGACAAAACAAAAAAAGTTGGGTTGAGGTTGTGTTCTTAAGACACTACTCTCCAGGTCTTTCACCTCAGTAGAAATTTTATTAATTTATTATGAATTAAAATTTTATAATTGTAATTAAATCATATCAAGATTTTATCGAAACCCACGTGAAACTGAGTTCATATTCGTAAGATCAAAATTCTCTAAAAGAATATTATTTTTGGGATTTGTCCTCACTTTGGATTATTTCATTTGTTTGATATTGGATTTAATTTTTCTAGTAGTAATTCTTTTAAAGAAAACTTTTTATAGTTACTTGCCAAAGTTTAAGATTTGTTTGGCCTGATTAGAGCTATAAAAATTGTAGTAAATATTTAAGTGGTTGTAAGTTATGCTTAAATTCTATTAACTAATCTATTATCTCTTGGTTAAACTCATGAATTTTATTTGTGATTAGTGTGTGCAGTGCATTTATATGTGTGGATTCTCTATGAAAGACCACCAATTTATTTACCATCTTCATTTAATTATGTCAATAAGGTTTATGATATAGACATATGAACATATAATATAAGTTTTCTTGTTTTCATTCTCAAAGTATTTTACGTGCCATATTCGATCGAGGAATCGGTGAGGAAATCACAAAAGCAAATTTCAGAAGCATTGCTCTTTCGTGCATCACAAATGTGCAAAGATAAATCGGTATTTTTCTATTTATTAAGAATTGAGTTTTTTTTTTATATAATTAAGAGAGGGAGAATTCGAATTCTGTTCTTTAAGCAGAGAGATAATACTTCAACCAATGAGCCAATACTCGAGTGTTATTAAGAACTGAGTTTAGTTACATGTTACCATATGATCTTGTATGAGAGATATGAGATCTCTCATCTATTACCTACAGATGTATTGGACCTAGCTAAAGCAAATAAAGAAGTAAATATGCATGCATGAGATGACTTGAATAAATTAATGGAAACTTCTTGCCTGCAGATTAACGTGAAGAGTTTGATTCTGGAAGGGGATCCAAAAGAAAAGATATGCCAAGTTATTGAGCAAACGCAGGTTGATCTTCTCGTCGTAGGCAGCCGCAACCTTGGAAAGATTAAGAGGTGATTTCAACCTTTCTTTTATGGCAAATCCTGCGTTGTGGATTAATTTTCTTTTCTTATTGGAGATTTTGAAATTATATTTTCAAGTTTTAATTCTTAAATATTGTTTTAAGGACAAAGTTAACTGAATTATGAAACTGAGTAATTGTCTACGTAGTGTATATATAAAATTTAAGCTTCTTGCATGGTGAACACACAAAGGCATGCAAATGATGATTTGATTGGTTGTAACTTCCTTGTGTTACTTAATTTTGGAAGCAGAGCTTTGTTAGGTAGTGTAAGTGACTACTGTGCGCACAATGCAAACTGCCCCGTTCTTATCGTGAAGCCACCACCAGAAACCAGTAAGTAAGTAGCAGTGAAGGCCGTGAGCTTTTTCTACTCTCTAATAAATATTGTCTTGAAGAACATTAAAGTGTAGTAATTTTACATGTACAAGTGAGCTCCTGTAAACTCTGTTCCGCGGATTATGTAATTTCTCTCTTATTTTACTTGTTAGATACATACTGTTTTCATAATTTTTTTTATTTACGGAAAGAGATTCGAACTTTAATTTTTAAGTAAGAGTCATGTTTCAACTAATAAGTTAAATACTTAAATATTACTATTTTTATAATTATTATTACTATTATTTTATTTATAAGAAAAATAAATTTTAACTTAATTTATTTAATTTTTAATAAAAGGGATTTGAGAAAATGTAGAGACAAAGTACAGTGAAGATGGAAAGAACTGAGTAAAGGGAAAGTATTTGAGAAAAGCTTAGAGAAGTCTTTTAGAGAGAATCTGCTAAAATATTAACATGTCCCTAAATTGCCAAATTTATATATACACACGAAATAAAACCAGTTTGTTAGACGCAATGGGTTAGAAAGTTTTTACTTGATATCATGCAAAGAGCACGTTTAGGGGGAGTTTTTTTAATATATAAGAACATGTTTATGATGGAAACGACACGTTTATAATCAAAGAATATATTCATTATGGACCATTATATGTATCAAGTAATGAGAGGATGTGTAAAGATATAGTGAAACTTAATGACACTTAATAATATGTCACATATTAAAAAATAACAAAAATACAAAACACGCAAATTTTAAGTAAATGTTAAGAAGAAACTCTTTAAATATCTTAGCCTCGGAGTTGTCGAGTCAAGCTTTGAAGTACAATTCAAATTGTTGCAATTTATTTTAAGTTATTTTCACATTTCATGTGATATTGTTATTTTATAATTGTTCTTATCCTGTAAAACAACATTTAAAAGAAAAATTATACATAACTCCAAATAACCCAATTTAGATATCAAAGAAAAAGTGGGCCGTGGCATAAAACATACAACAACTTAGTACATGAAGAATTGGATCCAAATGCATGATGCCAACTCTTTCTAAACATGTCATCCCAAACTTCCACGTTATCCATAGTTTGTTCCAAGAGTGCAATCAAGATTCAAACAGCGCATTCAATAATCTCCTCTTCGGCATATATAAAAGAGAAGGCGGTTTAATCTACAAAATCAATATTTCCATTGCTTGGTAGAATTAGAGAGGAGGGAAAAGATGAGAGTTATGGTGGGGATTGATGGGAGTGATGAGAGTCTCTATGCTCTTCAATGGCCTGATCAGTCCAGCACCAGTGTGCAGAGGACTAAGGCTTTCCTAGGATTTGTCCTGCAAAAGATAATCTATATATAAAATTATGTTTGCTTGTAAACTCTATTTGTTTATGTTAGTGTGACAAAGAAAGAGCATTATCGCTCAAAGCTAGATCTTTACTGAAATATGGTTTTACTCTTTTATCATTTGAAATGAGCTGATATTGGTTCATAGTGTACTTCATTTTTAAATAGATCAAGTCCTTCTTAAATTTCACAATCTTTCTTCATCACTTAATTTATTTCCAATTAAACGGCAAGGATCAGTATCATATCACAATTATAACATTTAGTGATGTTGTTTTATCTGCTTCAGTTAAAAAAAGAATGCTGTTTTATCAGCAATGGACCAATGGTTGGAAAAAGCCCTCAGTAATCCTAGAAGCAATGGGTTCTTAGGAGAAGGAAATCAGGCTTGCCAAACGGGCCTAGAAAATCATTTCTTTTACGAACACAGTTTGCAGGAACCATTCTTTCAGGCAACATAGTTTCACTACATCTCTGTTAATTAACTGCCCTTTTGATAAAAATACTTTCGACAGAAGTATCAGGAAAATGGTATGGGCAGGAAGGGGTTGGAAGCTTTAATTTCAGAGCAGCCATCCATGATTCAAGTAGTGATTAGCTCATATGAAGTAGCTCCAGAAGTGGGGATTACTCTGTGGGATCAAGAGACTGGTACATGCTCTGGAAGCATTGGATTAACCTTTCTTAGTCTTAGTAAGTGCTCTAGAAAGGCCTAGAATATATAGATTATGGAAGATTATAACTTTTTATAGTAAGTTTTGAAAAGGTTAGAGAAAACGGTGGAGCATCTCCTTTTGCATTGTGGTTTTGCCACGGCAGTCTGGCTCGGTTCCAGCCTGTCCTCAGAGCTGATCAGTTCTCCCCTGACAGCATTATGGACTGGATCAAGGAAACGATTCTTACGACTCATAAGCAGAAGGAAAAAGGGGGTTTACGTTTTGTCCACTGCATATTTTTTTACTAATTTCAGGGCTATTTGACCTTCAGCCTTGTTTCAAACTAAAGCCCCGGACACCAATAACTGAGAAGCTTTTGAAACCAAAACAAGTAGTGAGGGGAAGGGAGACATGCAGTTTGGTTTCTGATTCTTGAGGGGGATCCAAAGGAGATGTTATGTGAAATTAGTGAGCAAATGAATGCAGACCTCCTCATCGTTGGAAGCCGTGGCCTTGGGAAGATTAAAAGGTGATTTTAATCATACATTTCTTGGGTGCTTTAGTTTATAAAATATAAGAGCATATATTTTTGTTATATGTATTGGACTAATTTATTTATGAAGTTCATTTGTAGCATATGATTGGATTTTAATGGCTAATCAAATTAAGGTGATTCGTGATTTGCAGAGCTTTCTTAGGCAGTGTAGGTGATTACTGTGCACACCATGCCAAATGCCCAACCCTGATTGTGAAACCACCAAAGGAGGCAAGCAACAACAAATAGTGAGGACTGAGGCTGACAACATCTTTCCTTATATGTGTTTCTTGTGCCATTATGCGTAAACTTTATTTATATATATTTATTTCAAATTAAATATTAATGTATCGTGATGGCAATATCAACTATCATTTATAATGTCTGTTATATATTTAAAATAAAATTTTAAATTATAATTATTTATATATAAAAATTTAACGAATAACATATTATATGCTAATGAAAATAAGAAGATTTTGTAGCAGTTTGATGAAAAAAATTATAATCTCATAATAAGGATCCATTCAAGTTAACATTTCTAAGGTATAAAGTTATCGTATAGATACAACTATTATTCATTACGTCGGAATTCATATACTACTAATTCTCGACACTCACAATTATTCAAATATTGTTTTAATAATTATTTTTTCACTAATAAATTATTCTCATTCAATTTTAGAAATTATATATTGCGTCCAAATTTCTTTTTTTTTATTTCATAAATGACATCTTAATTTTATTTTTTTAATAAAACAATTTTTAAGTACATATTTGTTTGATAAAAAATTTAAAATAATTTGACTCAGAAATTAAGATTGATAAAAAAAAAAATATCAAAGCAGACATATTTGCTAGAGACAAAAGGGGTAGTTAAAAACGGAAAGAGAAACATAAATTGCCATTGAACAAGAAGGAAACACAGAGCTAAGGCAGAGAGCGCACCTATACTTTCTGCAAATGTTTTTGAGGATAGAAAATAAGAAGGGAAACCAGAGCAAGTGAACATTGGAGAACTAACCTAACATGGAAAGACCCATACCAATAAGAAATGAAGCTGAAGCAGCAGCAGTAAAGAGAAGAGAAAGTGGTCAATGGAGATCCAAAGTTGAAGAGTATGAAATGATTTCCGATCTGAGTGGCTTTGATAATTTGAGAGCTATGATTGAAGGAGAAGCTACTGTCCAAAGAAGGAAGAGAAGAAGAAAGAGGAAAAAAAAGAAGAACAATCATGTTCAGCACCCACTCCCTGTATGAATGCCCTGCTTTTCCTCTCCCTGGCTCTGGGCTTCAAGATATGTGCATATGTTGTTCTTGAATCCTATTTTCCTTTTCACTTGCTTTTTGGTAAAGAGTGAGTAAAAAAGAAAAGAAAATGATGGGAACTGAAAAAGATTTTAGCTTGTCTTGTTTCTAATTGAGTTTGCATTTACTGTATCTGAATCAAGTTTCTTATCCTTTTTTCCTCCTCCTCGTTGAGTCTTGTTAAGGATTGTTCGGCTTTCACTAATACTTATTTGATGGAATTTAGGTGGATACTGGAAAGCCTGCAATTGATACAGAGCAGGCTGTGAGAACAGTGGAAGTATCAAATATGGATTTGATTGAAATACCAGCCACTGATGTGCCACAGAAGCTTGCTGTCAGTTTCAGCTCGTCTTCTTCTTTTTTAGTTAATCTTTTGGTGTTCATTTGATGGATTCTTGATATTATTTTGTTTATTTTAGATTGGACATGTAGAATTTAAGAATGGATTGAACCAACATTAAATTATCCTTAGTGGACCAATCTCGGTTATAATTAAAACTTTTGTAAATTGGGCTTCAGGTTGATACTGCCGTTAAGGAAAGCAAGATGATAGCGACTGTACAAGCAGTGAAAAGTAGAACTGGAGGCAATGGTAATGAAGCTGGCTCTGAGGATGTCTTTGGTCTTTTTTCCTCATCTTCAGAGGATGATAACTTGATCTCAAATATTAGCACCAAAAAAAGCACTGGAAAATTGGTGTCAGTGGAGGTTACAATAAATAAGGACAGTAATACAGTGTGGAGAAATGAGCTAAAAACTGTTGTAGCAGAAGAAACTGTAAGTATATTAGCTTTTAAACCTTCTTGGTGAGTCTTATATTTACAAGACTCTCTATTCTAATAGCTGCATCTTTTGTATTTGGGTTTAACGAAGTGATCATCATGGATTTCAAACTAAAAATTATTGTTTTCAGATGGTAGTTACATTTTTTTTGCTATTTGCATGCTCTTTTGCATCAGTCTCTTCTTAGGAATAGAAATGATGGAAAAGGTGGACCTTTCTATTTATCAAGATGATATGTGGGATTGCTGTGCATTTAGGTGGATGTGGGAAAGAGAGAAATACATGCAGCGAACGCTAAATGTGTAGAAACTTTAAAATTACCTGAAACAGAACCAGCTCAGAACACTGTTCTACCAAGGCTTCTTGTGAGTTGAGGATCTGTATTCAAATACTGCTTTAAAATGTTTGGTGTCATGAAAATGTACTAAAATTCTGTCAAGATAAATTGATAAGTTCTTATTTGATTGTGCATTACTTTTCTAGCGGAAACCCAGATACTTTGATTCTCCAACCGGTTTCTGGGCCAGGTGTTTCAGTTCTGGAGAAGATCATCCAGCAGCAGCAGCAAACTGTACATTACCAAAGCGATTGAAACCATGCTTCCTCTGCGGGAGTCTTCAGCACAATGGGAAGCATTGCTTACAGGTTTTAAATCCCCATCTCCTCATTAAAATGAAGCATTGCATACAGCTTTTGATAGGATTCTAAAAAATCCCAATCACTTTAATAAAATGAACACTATAGTCTATCAACAAGAATAATTTGGTGTTAGAAGAATTTGTTAGTACTTCAAATGTCCCATCATTCAGTCTAGTCTGATGACATCAAGAAGCAATATAAGAATTGATGATTTGTAGAGGTTACAACTCTATAATGGTAAATTTTATAGACATGATCAACAAGAGATAATTGAGATAAACTGGGAGCAGTTTTACTTTTCAAATTCTCAGTTTCCAAATTGGCATCTAAGCCTGAGTACTACCCATGATAAAGTTATATGCTTAGTAGCTTTAACAAGTGTTATCTAATGAGATCTCTGGGTTGATACAATAACCTTGAAACCTAATTGTTGCTTCCAGAGAGGATCTTGCCTGGCAGAAACAATATTGGTAATATTTTTACATTAGTATTTTAGCATACTATTTTTCTCTTTAACCTTTTTCCTTTCTCTCACAGAGCTTTCCCTATTGAATCTTGTACATAATGTTCAATTTTATGAGGTTTGGCTTTGACTTACTTTATTTGTAAAAGATGGGACCTTGATATTTCAACAGGGCTTATTTTGCTTTGTCTGCAGGGAAGAGGTCACCCAAGCCAATTGTCCAGAGAAACAGGAAGAAAACAATTTGACTTGTATTCTTTGTTTAAGATGTGGGGATTCAGGACATGATATGTTCTCATGTAGAAGGGACTATTCTCCTGATGATCTCAAGGTCTTCCTTATTTGTTAATGCTCTCAGTAACCCCTTTCTCTCTGTTTTGTCCAACCTTTTATTTTCTTTTTCATTTGGGAAAGGGTCTCTTTGAGCAGGGGCACATACCATTGAGCCAAATGCTTTATTTTCTCATGCCTGATTTTGTTTTATAAGATGACATTAGTATTGCTTCTCACAATAGAAACCAACTGGAAAAAACAATATAAAGTTGGACAAAATCTTACACATGTAAGACTTGAACGTGGGACCTGTCCGTTCCGGGGCTTCTTCTTAGCCATTGAGATATGCCTCCTCAGCCCCATGCCTGATATATAAATGAGAACTGGAAATCCAAATTGCAAGTGATTCTTGCAGCCTGATCGATAATGATAATTATTGTGTTGTGAGCAGAAAATTCAGTGTTACGTGTGCAATGGTTTTGGTCATCTCAGCTGTGTCAACGTTCTAGATACAAGTCCAGCTGAAGTTTCCTGCTACAATTGTGGCCAGTCTGGCCATTTGGGATCGGTAAGTCATATTTGTCTACTCGTTTATAGTTTAAGTTATGTATGTGTCCATATTTATTGTATCTTATGGTGATTATTCTACTAGGAAAGCACAAAGTTTCCCAAAGTTCCTAGAGGCTCAAACGCCCATGCTTTATGCTACAGGTGCAGAGAGGAAGGTCAATTTGCACGAACTTGCACGCTTTCTAGGAAGGTTTGTTTTAAACAACCTAAAGTTGTGTGTGCACGCACACGCAGATGCCTAGTTTGCATGTTCATAGATGCTTCGAAATACTCATGCAAACAAAGAAACTGTTCATTGTCTGCATGTTAATAGTGAAAAGGAACTGTTCTCAACTTATCATTTGCAGCACGTTAGGAGAGTTCAGACCGAAATGAGAAGATCACTGGAATCTAGTTCAGCACCCCCTAGTCTTTGTGAGCCACAGAATGAGAAATACAAGAAAGACTAATAATCAATGTTGATCAATAAAGGTGGAGTTAGGATTAAGCTTTCACTCACCTGCTCTATGAAGAATCAAGGCAGAATCTTAAGATGTCTCCTGCAACATGCACCCTTTTTTTCTGTAGTCATCTATCCTTGCATCATGGAACTCCAAGTTTAAAAGTGTACCATCTCAAATTTTGGTGCTGAGGTTCAATTACTCTTGAAAGACTGAAGCTAGTCAAGATTGGTAGAAGGAATACATTCCAACCGGAATGTGAAATTGCCAGCATATAACACATTTAGACTCTCTAACCTGTAACAATCAATCCATTTTTCATTGTTTTATTATTTTTTTTTTTCAAATGAGTTTATGCATTGGCGTGGTTATGAAACCATAAGGCCAGCTCTTGTTTGTTCATCAGAGCCTTGTTATACCGAATTTTGCCAGTGCAGCAGTTAAGGCTGTGTGCAATAGAAATTGAATTCTAATATTTGTTCATTGTTAATCGATTTTCCTTGACTATGACAAATGTTTAACACCAAGTATGGTAGGAAGGAAGGAAAAAAATACAGAAAGAAGAGAAAGAAAATTAGTTTTTCTTCTCTGTATTTGGTATGAAAAATGAAAAATTAAAGGGCAAAACAGAGGTTAGGCATAAAAATTATGCATGAAATTTCTTATGTGTTTGGTATGAAAAATGAAAAACAGAGGAAAAAAAAAAGGTTAGGCATAAACTAATATAAAATAGAGAGAAATTAGACATGAAATTATATATAAAATCATTAATTTAGGTTGAATGAGTGTTTTCCTTTTACTTTGGGATGGATTGGATAGAATAAAAAAGACGTAAATCCATTTACTATTTTCCTTTTTTTTTTCTTCCTATTTCCTTCTTACCAAGAGAAGGAAAAGATGGAAAGAAAGCAGTGTTTTCCTCTCATCTCTTTTCTTCCTATATCTAACCATAAGCAGGCCAAAAGTTTCCTGGGAAACAATTTACACTAAAAAGGAATGAATGATATTCAGTATGTCGAAACCGAATTTTTTTACTTGTGAACATATCATCCCACTGCAAAAAAAAAAAAAAAAGGTAATAAAGAAAATGCATAAATCTGGAAAAATTTTATGAAGAGAAAAGCTGTGATTTCAGTAAACAGTTATGTATTGCTCAATCAGGTTAAGAAAGCTTCAGAAAGAAGTCAGAACAATTGCTCCTGTTCATAATATTTCTTTCTTCGCTTTGTTGGCTTCTGTCAGAAATGCTATACAGTACCCACAAGACCAAATACGATATGGACATGAAGGCGCATGAAGTAGGCCGCTTGAATCGAGCTTGAGGGATGCTTGTTTAAAAGTTGATAAGAGATTACATCTTTGCAGGTCAGTCCTGTAGCAAAATCACCATAATCCCCAGGATCAGAACATAAAAGATCAAACACTTGAAAAGAGTAAAAGCTCTCAAGCACTTACCTGCTGGCTCATAAGAATTTCCACAGCGACGTTAAGATCCCCATCAGCAGCTGCGATTGCAACTTCTACTTGTGTCTGAAACAATCCAAAGGCGTTTTCCATTACTCCCCTCCTTCAAACGTAAGTGTTTGCATGCAAGAGTGTATGCATTGGTATGATGGTGCTGATTTGAGTGTGTCAATGTGCATTAACTTATGCTTGCAGGCACCAGCTTAGTTTGATAAGCAAGTATTGTAGTATATGTCAGCCATCACATGATTAATAAATAACTACTGAATTATGATCCTTGAGAAAGTAATCTATGGATATGCTGCACAAATTCCGTAGACAACCATGAAAGTCATGCAAAATCAAACATCAAAATACAATTATAAACAAACAAAACATAGGAGGGATAAATCTTCAAACACAATTATGAAACATTCAAAATAAAAGGGATCTAACTTTTACCCTTTCAAAACCCATCGATACAAGTTTCTGGATCTGTTCCTCAGAAGCAATTGAAACCTGTTGCATCTGGCGCACATGAAAACCAAAGAATTGATTAAGGAACTTATTAACTGTAAAACAAATTCTAAGCAGAAAAAAATATAATTCTCAAATAACAGAAAGAAACCTCAGCAAGTGGAGGACCTCCAGCACCTGCTGCAACAACGTTATTCACCGGTGACCGCCTGAAAGATCAACAAGAAACATGAAATGACATTTCAATCATATAGAAAAGTACAAAGACAAACTTGATTACATCTAACAAGAGCAGCCTAAAATATGAAATCAACACAGATTTAGCACTATATTTTTGTTCATTGCAATTTAATATCTATCAAATTTAAACCAATGGGAGTTGTAAAAGATTCACATGCAACAAACTTCAGAATTGGAAAATTTCAATCTAAATATTTTTAAACCACAAAACAGCCATAATGTTTAGAAAGCATGCCTAAAAGCCAAATTGAGAAAAACTGCAGGTAACATAGAACAGCAGTGTCACAGATCTAAAGTAAAAGGTTGTAATGCTTATCAAACAAGGCTTATTAACAGAAAAACTTCTAAACGAAACAATCATTTATAAACTCAGTGGAGTTACATTAAGCTTCTAGAAAATATTAAAAAAACAATTTAAAACAAACAGAACAAGGCCCATTGCCAAAATAAACAGCAAATTATGTTCGAACAGCAGCTTCTTAGGCAAGGCCACAAGTGGAGAGATGGGGTTTGGGGATATTTAAAAGACCCAATAAGATCTTATAACTAAAAGATGTTACTACCACCATATCAAGTTCCTGGGATGATGGGTAAGATTTGTACACCAGAAGTGCATGACAGAAGCGAGATTCATATTGGCAAACTTTCAAACCAAAGAGGATAATAGAAAAAAAGATAAGACACTATCACTAAAGCCAAACTGAAAAGCAAAATGAAAAACACTTCCTGATACCTTTCATTTGAAAGCCTCTGCCCTGCCCCAGCTGCTGCAATATCTGATGGATTGTTGGGGCTACTATTATCCAAAAGTCTAGCTTGTAGGTTTGAATCAGAATTTACAACAGTATTTTGACCAGAACCAAGTGTCCTCCCTCTCCCAGGAAATCTGACATCATCTTGTGTAGACTGCATGTTATTGAGGTGGATCACATCAATTTATCTTTGACCAGGCTTTTGAGGACATAGGGCTCAAGGAAGCCACAGTCAAGATTAAGCACAAAAATAAATCAGGAACACAAGATCATTGTTTTATTTCTTCAAAGTTGTCTTCTAATGTGAAATGATTTCACCATAAATGCTTAAATGTATTCATTCCAACGAAAGCATGGTTTTTAGCCCCACAATAAGAGAAATAAAAGATTCTTTTCATCTAAAATAGCCAAAACTGCCAGGCACGTGGCAAAAGACAGGCACTGCTTGGGTTAAAACTTAAGGCAACTACAGCACGAAAATATTTTATAGAGCACAAAGTTCTTGGCCTAAAAAATATACATATAAAAAATCATCCAATGGTTATTGGCTCAAAACCTGAGCAGCTGTCTCCCTCTGTGGCATCCATGAAGACAAGTTTCTCCAAATGTTTCCAGAAAATAATCCACTGTTTAACAAAAATCATCAGATAAAGATCCCATTAGAGGCAAGGAAAAGCAGATTAAGTCAAGGTAAGAAAAATATACCTGGAGGGTGAAGTTTGACCCGAGAAAGTGGGAATGTAGGCTGAAGTATTGCCACCACTGCACAAAATAAATTTAGGTCGCCTCACGCAGCTGGCCTGGCGGATTGTACAGCCTTAGATTATATCAACCATAAAATCATTTGTAAAAGAAAGATGTACATATTCCAGTCATCATATTTTTGTAACTATCTAAGTGGTGTTGCACATGATCATCTAACAAGGAAAAATAATTAACATTTCATAATTCCCTACCAGTAACTCATCTGAAATTTTCACTATTTCTGAATTTAAGAATAAAAGGGAAAAGAAAGAAAAATTATTCAAAAAAACAAGAATTGAGGAAAAGCCCATATTATCTTGGTAAAGGAACACACTGGAACATGTCAAAAAAAACAGGAACACACTAGAAAGTCATTTTTATTATCAAGATGACTTCGAATAATTTTCTAGGGACCAGGAAAGATAATGATAGAAAAAAATAGTGGGCCGTGACATTTGACTACCAATCAGATGGTGAAAAGGATTTGAGTTACAAACTCCAATAAATTGCAATACAAGGCTTCTTTGACAGAGATTGCACATGCATACAGGCATAAATGCATGCTCACATAGTACAGTAGCTCGATGACATAACTCTTGCCAATATTATAAATTGAGCCATATCTACTACTGATTTATTAAAATAAAATGATTTCTTCTTATATAAAGATGACTAAATATACAGAACTAAACTAGCAAGTTTGTAACAATCATTTTAGTGCATGTCTGCACCAAAAAGTAAGTTGCAAAAAAAGTAAAGTCGTAAGATCTGGATATAGTAAAGGCATGGGAAGATAAATTGCTATCCAATTAAAAAGCCAAATGCAGAAGCAAGTTAAAAGGCATGGGAAAGGAAAATCAATTGCTATCACCAGCCAGTTCCATCAAAGAACTTACAAGCCAAGATGAGGACTCTATGGCAGAATAAAAGGATGGTCCAGGTATAAGGAAGTTGAATAAGCCATAGGTATCTGAAAAAGTTGACAACCATAAATAAATTTCAAGTTTCAACCAAGTTCATTGCATGATTTGCAGAAAGTACAATGATGGAAAGATATATTTCAAGAACAAGGGAGACATACATGCAAAGCCGGACAAAATGCCACAGAGGTGTCCAAGTAATGAGACATTCGACATAAGCAGCTGGAATGCTACCAATAAGATAAAGGCATACCTGAAACAAATATCTTGTAATATAGATAGCACAGAACTTAAAAGTAAAAATGGGTGACATAAAACATTACAGAAGCAAGTAACTGCATTTACCATTTTGCTGGTACATTAAAAAGACCAAACACACTGCAAAGAAAGAAAGTCGTGAATCAGTCAAAGAACCATTATATTGAGCCAAAACAAAAGAAACCTTATGCACCAAGATTCTCAAGATGCAAGAGAATTTCACATTCATGTGCATCACGCACATACGTAGCTGGGCATTGCATGTACATGCAGCAAGATTCTCAGTATGTAGAGACAAGCCACTTTGCATGCATGTGAATCAAGTACAGTGTCGGTCGTGCTTGCGTGTGCACTACCGTGTCTCAAGAGTAGGCAGAAAAAAGCCGACATAAATTGGCAATAAGATATTTTAAAAATGAAAAATTGCAGAAGCGAAGAAAAACAAAACTTTTCAGGAAATACTGTTCACAGTGGTTGTGGAGAAACTAACCTCCTAGATTGAACTCCACTCAGACTTGTCTCTATGACAATCATAGAAAATAAGATTCCAGAGAAGCCTATGGCACACTCGTTCATGAGATACTGATCTGTGTGGAAAGGATTATGGGCTACCACCAATGCAATAATGAGATGAAATATAGCATTGCTTGTTGCTAGCAAAATTATCAAGTATAACAATCGAATAGATCCCATGATTCTCTCCAGTTCAGAGCCCAAAGGAACCAAAGCCAACATGTTGAACAAAACATGTAACAGCGAACCATGGAAAATAATGGAGGTGTAAATCCTGTAAACTGCAAGAAGAAAAAATAAATTAAAGACAATAACTTTCAGAAAAGTGAGGATAAACATCCAATATAGTCGCATCAAATGAAAAGCCAAATGAAGCAAAATATTCTTTTTCAATTGGTCAAAGAATTTCTGCCATGAGTTATCTCTGATTGGAAATCTAAAATTAAATATAAATACAATTTTAAAAGACCAAAGTGACCATCCATGTATTCTGGAATCAGGCCTAGACAAGACTGCTAAAAAAATTCCTTATTAACACTTCTCTCAGGCCCATCATGTAGGTGCCAAACAGCAATTTCAGCAAGACAAGGACAAACTTCTTGTAAATCACGGCCTGGAATGAAATGGGGCATCAAGCAGGTTCATGGAGTCTGCCAGCTTTCTAGTGGACTCATATAATTCATCCAGACCAACTAACACATTACTACAAGTCATTTACTCTTTATTATTATTTTGAAAGGCTACTCTTGATTTTTGAACTCTAAATTAGTATAATGCTACATCTCAAAGATGTTGCAAATGAAGCAGCTGGAAAATGGAAGTAAATACTACACCAAAAGATATTCTTGGCGCAAAAAACTGGGAAGCCATGAATGTGATCCACATCTTATAATTTATTTACCACAAAAATGAATCACGTTACAAGAACAAACCTTGAAGATGTGATACAAGAGCCTCTGGCAAGAAGCATATCTCGTAAAAAGAGTCATATCCAACCAAAAGACAAACCAAGTAAATAACCCCACAAACAATCACCACAGCTGAAGTAAAGAATGGTATATTATCCCACCATTGCCCTACTCTAGTTTGCAGTCCTGCCTGTACACCAAAAATCATAATCAAAATAAAATTCAAGTACATAAAACTCATACATCGAACCAATACACTCACTCTTACTAATACAGAAACTAATTAAAAAAACAGGTCCACAAAAACCAGCACTTTAAAAAAAAGCAACCGCCTAATTTTAAACTTAATTATATCAAAAGTGATCGTTGTTAGGGCGTTAATTCTTTTAAAAAGAATGAAGAACTAGAACTAGAAGAAGAAGAAGAAACATATCAGCTTAAATGACCTATTCAACTTTTTGAAACCATCTCATTTGCATTAAATATATCATAAAACAGTTAATCCTTTTTTTTTCCTCCAACGGAACAGATAGCCAATAATGATAATAATAAGAAACAAAAAAACAGAAACAAGCTCAACTGAACTAAGTATAATTAACGGCAGTCAGCAGGATTCAACGGAGCTTCAAGAGTTCTCCAGATTCATTAAACTTTGCCGAATTCTTTTGTGTTTCTGGCATTTTCTTAGCAACCAAACAGAGGAGAAAAGCATAAAAGCAAAGACAGGCTTATCAAAATATTGAGAGAAAAAATAAACCCTAAGAAACAAAGACAGAAAATCGAAGAAATGTGGATCTGAGCTTACCTCTGAAACAATATTAGGTCTCATTTTTTCTTTTTGGCGCAAAAAACAAGTTGCAGTTTCTTCGTCTTTGGCCTGATGACTTTGTTTGAAAAATCCAAATGATATTAGCTTCTTGAAACTACCAACTGGTAGCAAATAGGAAGCTTTGGAGTCCGGATTCTCCAGATCGAGTCTTCGAATTTTAAAATTCGGGTTCGGATCTTGGGTTGATACGGATCCGGATAAGTATTTCCCAACTCCCAACTACTCCTAGGGCGTGTTTGGAGGTTTGTTGGTCGTTGCATAAAACGGACAAATAACTAGTAATTAAAAAAGTTGAAACTATGATTACAACACTAAATTTGAGATTAAACAGAGATTATGATTAAACCTATGCATCTTTAGTAATTACATCTGATTGCATATTGGGCAAATTTTATATATTTAATTATAATGTACAATTACAAAAATAAGGACAAATCATCGTAGAATTATTTACATAATAAATGGATAGTACCATAATTTTTATAAAATAAGAGTAGCAACTACTACTGCTACCACAGTGTAGTATGGTATACACCAACGGATAAGAACCCTAATTTACTAATAAGATACAATTTTAGATTGGCCCCTTTCTGGATCAAATTTTTGTTACCAAGTTCATACTCATTACCATGCGAGAGAGATGGTCATATCATACCAGTCAAGAAAGAGGTCTAAATTGGAAGTTGGAACTCATGAATTTCTCTGAAAATTTTGGATCAAGAATAATTTACAGGTCCAGACCACGAAACTGAATTAATTTAGCATAGGTGGGGAAGAAGGAAGACAAAGATAGAAAGGGACACCTAAAAGGACCAAATTGGAAAGCTGGGAAACGTGCTCCTTGTATGAAAGACAAGCACGGTAAGCACCCTCTTTCGTTGCAGCAACGGGCTAAACATGTTAATCTGTGGAGGAAAAGCACACCATATTTAGATGATGGGACGCAGCTATTCCTTGAGATCTGGAAATCTCTAATCATAAGCAAATGGAAAAAAGCTTATAGAATACTTGTAGATGCCCAGAATTTGGAAAGTATTATGGCAGGAGGAAACGCAGTGCAGGGTTTTGAGCAGGAAAGTTGCTCATCTGCATGTTTTCTAAGTGGGAAAATGAACTGAAAAGCATGGTCATTTTTTATGGGTTACTTTGAAGAGTAAATAGTGCTGTCAAGCATTGCAAATGCCTTGATAATTATAATAAGTTGTAAGAACTTCATAAATGTTGGATTTAACACTAGCTTTTTTCAGGAGAAAAATCCAAAGTGACGTTCGTATAAATGGTGGCCAGAAAAAGGCACCTAGTTTTCTTGCTCCCAGCCTCCTAATCGCTCCCCAGGGTCATAGTTTGTGAAAAGCCGAAACTCATTTCCAAGTTTGCTAGAGTGTCGAGGCCGGAAATTGCAGGGGTACAAACCCAAGAGCTCAGCAGCCCTGTCCCTCTGCACCTCTCCTGCAAGCCATCACAATACTTACTCTGAGATTTACTATAAAAAGCCACTGAAACAATAATTGACATCCACCATGTATTCTGCGCTACATTAAAGTTATAGATGTAATGCAGAAAAGATGAGACGAATTGAAAGACTCTATCACAAGCTATGTTAAGATGGAGAGGAAGCAAAAGAAGTTACCTGTAAGCAAAAGCAAGTAAGATTTTTGTGGTTGTACAAGAAAAGATATTGTTTGAGTAACTTTCTCCAAACACTCCTTGCTCTGCAACCATACACATGATACATATTATACTATCAAAATTTTCTTCAAACACATCAAATTTCTAGCTTCAGTGTAAAGCAGTATACTCATGGAACTGTTAAAAGAAACAAATGCCCCCATATAAATATCTGCTAAGTAGCGGTAATGATAAAAGTACAATCCATTGCTCTAACCCTAAATGTTTCATATAAGACTTAACCATATAGTGGTTTACCACCTTGTGAAAGAAATGTGTCTAAACCTTTACAATCTACAATACTAGACTTGGCAGAACTCTATAAAGCAGAACACTAAGCTTAAATTCCCTCATTTAGAGGCATCAGAGGAGGGATTTTACATCAAGGTAGAAAATACACTGGTATAAAACTGATTAAAAGCCTTTGATTTGGTCTCCATCAGAATATTAAAAATCACAAGATAAACAAGCAATGAAGCAAGAACATCCTCGTATTCAACAATCTAAAATCAAATACAGGAAATAACATATTCAAGATATTTGGTGTGTAAATAATAGTAAAAGAACATAACAATTTTGTGTCATTAAAAAAGTGGAATAGGTTCAATCTCCTTAGCAGTTCCCACAAGATTGGTTGCGATCATGAAGGTTTTGAATATGGCACAAGACTTGCACAGCTAATAGTAAGAATGAAAACAACACAGCATAAAAGAGCTTGTCTTCTCAACTTACACCAGAAAAAGGAAAGAACCCTTTATACATGTCTTACCAGGTAAGGAGGATCAGCAACTACAACTTGGTAAGTATGTTTGAGTTCCAATGGCAAGTCTTCAGATTGGTTGTAATCATAAAATGTAAAATCACTGCCATATTGCTCAAAACGCTTATCATACTCCAAAAGTTGCACAGAGATATTAGGGTCCATGTTCTGAAAATGATGCAAAAGCAAGAAGTAATGAACCACAAAGCATTAGTAGCATCATGCAAAGGAATAAAGATTCATCGATTAAATTTCTCCGTTATGCCAATCTAAGTCTGTTTGCCTTAGTCAATACTTCATAGAAAATCACATGATAATCTTAACTGGCCAAGCATCTTTTTATCCAAATTGCTATATGTAAAATATAATGAGTCATTTGGATTTAACCACATGTCCAGCAAGAGTTGGAACACAGAGCCTCCTTTGTATCTAAGGGTATTTCAGTAATCCGCTCAACCCTTAGTAACGTGCATTGCCTTCAGTTTCATGCCCTAGTTTATTTCTTACACTCTCTCTGCACACATAACGTTTCAGAAGCCAAGTCGAACCACCTTAACTGACTATAATCTTGTAAGTCCAAAGTGGAGCTAAGCCCTAGGATCTCCACAGTGAAATACAGCATCAACACTAGTGATGTAAGCTTAAACCCTCACCTCCCAAGTTTTCTCATTCATCCTCAACCAGGCACTATATCCGGTTTAATGAAAACAAATTGTTTCTCTAATTAAACTATTCCAAACAACAGTCTCCATGATTCCTTATCCTTTCTTTGACTCCTCAAACGACAACATCAACCGTTATTCATTCGGGTGAAAATTTATGCTTAGCTTCTCTCCATGAGTTTTGTGCTATAAAGTCTCTCTTATTATGTCAAAATTTACCACCTTGATAGTTCAAGAGTCGGGCCAAAGTCAAATTTCAGCCTCTTTCGAGGTCCCCTTTATTCACATTTTTAACTCAAACGCTTACATTTCTAGTCATAACTAATTCTACTGTAAATCAATCTGGCCTTCACACCCAAACTCCACTAAACCGATAACTGAAATTAAAATAGTATACAGTCAATCGTCACAACTTCATTACCCTTCACTATTTACTCCATACTAATCATTCTTAACAGAACTAGAATGAAAGAAAAACTTTTTTTTAAAAAAAATGCTTGGATGCATTTGATAAAATTACCTTAAGATAGGCATAGAGGGTCGGGCAAGCGATACAAGCTACGTTATAATTGGAGTCACTGCAAAGAGAAAGAACTTCTTGGGCAACGGTCCGGGCTGTTTCTGGGTCATACCAGAACTGGCTCAGCCTCCAATCTTCAGTTACTAACGCCACTTCACTCCCCGGCCCAGTTCCTCCTCCTTCGGTTTCTACAGTTTCATGGTTAGCAAGAGATTGGCTTTGTTCTTTGAGGAACTCTTGGAGAGCTGCTAGAGCATGAGAGCTCAGGGCTGGTGGGTCATCGTCGTCAGCGTCGTCAACGGCGTCGGTTTTAGGAGTTCTGAGCTCTTCTTCCATTTTTCAGCTGCGGCTTTGGTAGTGACAGTGAAGGAAAACGAAGCCAGCAGGAGCGAAACCGGCTCGTGTGTGCACTTTGCAGTTGGCTCTTTTAACCGGGATTTGTTTAAAAAGCTTATTAGGGTTTTAATTATTATCCGGGAATAGGATATACCCGTTCATTGTTTGTTATCTAATGTGGTTTATGGTTACTGTTTTCTGTTTAAATTAATGATTAATTTAGTTGTCATGTCTATAAATTAATGCGAGTGCTTTTATTTTTTTTCAATATTTAAGTATTAACAGTCTGATTTTATTTTGAGTCAAACAAGCAGGAGCGAGGACCGAGGCTGAAACGAAATGGGCTAATTCAGTTTTGCCCTTTTGGCTTGTGATGCTCACCTCCTGAGCTCAAATCCTTACAACAGTCATAAAATAATAATTAACAGAGATGGAAAATGGTACTAGATGAGATCAGGCAAGCAAATAAAATGAGATAAGTTAACCCCTCACTATGATTGAGAGAAGAATTTTACTACCATTACATCCTGGGACCTAAATTTTTGAAAGCATTCATAGATTCTATCACCCCACTTCATATTTTCATACTTCTAAACAAGCTAAGCTGTCAGCTAGTAGTCTGTAGTCTCCTATATTCCGAGCATCAGTAAGCATAGATCTTTCAATTGTTCCTTCTAAGCAAAAAGGAATTTGTTCTTCCCTTAAATTATACCACAAGAATGCACCTCTGACATGGCTGGTTAACTGAGCCATCCCCTTTGCCCATCTTGACCGGTAATAGAAGTGATTGGTTTTTGTTTTCATTGTCCAAATAAGAGTCCTCTAATCACCATAAACGGGAGGAAGGATTCACCAAATGAACTTTCTAATTCCAGCTTTCATTGAGATCACATTTACTACTGGTAATGTCAAAAGCTTTCCAACTTGACTTCAAACGTGCTTCCTCTACTGGGCTTGCAATCAATGTCATCCTTGTCCTTCTCTGAAAATTGATGTATTTCTCCACTTCCATGCAAAGCACCACCATCCAGCATAATGAGTCCATCCAACTTTGAATCTGCATTTCCATCTTTGATATAACTCAACAACTTAACTAGAACCTCTGGGGAGATTATATCCCTATCACCTAGCAATTTTATGAATATCTTTGCTTCATCCATATCTCCCTTCCCTTTCAAGTACTTTAGACAAGCAGCCACACTGTCATCACTAGGCTTTAACCTTGGCTTCCAGCAGGGTCCAACAATCAATATGGCTTCCTTCATTGCTTCAACTGCCTTTTCCATTTTATTATGCCAAAGCAATGCTGTTGCAAAATAATACCATGTCTTTGCATTAGGCTTCCCCCCTTTTAACAAAATCCTATTTACGAAGGTTTCAAACTTTTCAAGAAGACCTCTCCTGGAATAAGCACAAAGCAATAAATTTGGAATGCAAATATCATAACTTAAAGTCCGAGGAGTCTGGGATTCCCATTCATCAAAAATCTTCTCGGCACTCTCAATATCATCAAACTTCAATAGAGAGCATATCATAGCTATGTAGCCCTTATTGTAAACCTTCGGATATGTCTTGTAAAGTTCCCAAATCCTTAAAACTTCTTCTTTCTTCCCTAGTGTTGTGTATCTTGTCAGTAGGTTATTATACACTATACCTCTTCCTTTAGTCAGTTCCTCAGATTTCTTCAGCATTGCGAAAGCCTTGTCCAGATGCCCAACTTTGATGTAAGCATCTCCTGCAGTAGCATAAAAAAACCAATCTGAAGCAAGCTTCGAATCAGATTCCACCGTTCGAAGAATATCTTCAATTCCATCAACATTGGATTGAGCTCCATTAGCGTTTAGACAGATGCAATACGTATATATGTCAAGAGCAATACCTTTTTCTTCCATTTCGTGCATCAAAATGTCCAGTTTCTCGTAATTGTCTGTTTTATAATGAAGAGAAAGCAAAACATTGAACACAAACGTCGATCTATCTAATCCCAAATCCCTCATTCTCTGCATTAGAGCCTCTGCCTTTTCAACAGATTTTTCACGTGCATAGCAGTTAAGAAGAGCAGAGTAAACCGTAGGGCCTTTTACTTGTTTTGGAACACTGTTGAAGTAATTCTCTGCATGTTCTATCCCATGAACTTTTGCAATCAAATCCAACCGAAAGGCAACATCACGATAGCTCATCCGAAAGTACCTTTTGTCAGTCATCCACAGAGACATCTGGGAACAAATAATAAGAAACAATAATCACAAGGCTTAAATGCACGAATCATGATTGAGAAGAAAGGCATAGGCTGAAAGGAAATCAATTTCACAGTTGTGCAGAAATACATCACTAGAAAGTTCGAATTTCACAGTTCTAGACGTTACTTATGAAGAAGATAAAAGCAGTCCAGAAAAGATGCAATGCTAGAATCCGAAAACATCACATGCCTTATCAAAAGGAAAAAAAAAAAAAAAACGCTGAAAGATATTTTAGCATATCCAACAAACAGAAGCTTAAACTCCTTTTCTTTTGTTGCTTTTGCCACTTGTTTTTTGCTGTTTTCCTTTTAATTCCTAGAAAGCGCTTAACAGAAAGAGTAAAGCAAAATCATATTTGATTAAAAATGAACAAATGACTAACATGCAACACCAATTAACATAGTTATTTGATAATAAGCATTTTCATTAACCAAAAATATTACTTTCATATCCAGAAGCAAAAAATAAGTAACAAAAACAACAGTCAAACGGCACTTAAAAGTCTTAATGTAAATTCTCAATCTCATCTGCACAAAATTAGTTTAAAAATAAAAATAAAATATCAATCTGCAAACAATTTCATATCAAGAAAATGCTACTAAATAATTTGATTTTGCAAGATAATTACTTTCCAAATACCTCTAAAGCGTGGCCGTAGCGTTTATAGAATCTGAGTCGCTTGATGCAGAATTGAAGGAGGTGTTTCTCTACGGGATTCCCTTCTTCGACCCATTGGTCTAAAACCGGAACGATGGAGACCGAAAGATCTCCACTCGGGGAAATCTTACGAAACAAACCGTTCATTGAACCTCCCATCATCGCCATTTTGCTTCTACCAGTTGTCGTTGTTGTTGATGTGGAGTAGGAGAAAACACCCAAAACATTTTTGAAATCGAAATGGGTTTTAAGATTGTTAAAGACCCTACTCCAATCACCCAGCTTCATTTTCAGAGGGAGGAAAGGAGGTTCGGCCGTTTGGAAAGGGTTTAAGCTAGGTTTTACACTTTTACAGGTTAGAGTTTCTTTCGCCTTTGGAGTTGTGGGCTTTCTTTCATTGTGATGTAAAATTATAATTACTATTTTTACTTATAGCTTAGCTTAAAAGACTTTTCATCGGATCCAAGCCAGAAACTTCATAATTTAGTGGATTTCTTATAGAGAAAGGGTATAACAATTTGGAACAACAGTTAAATTATGGGGCAATGTTAATGGCACCCAAATCTTATATTTAAAATGAAGCTTGAATTTACTCCTAAAAATATAAAAATCCAGCAGTTTCGAGTCAGAGTAGTAGTTTTCAATCCAAAAGAACAGCCAATAAGGCAATAACCGTGTTTGCAACTGGAGTCGTGTCATGGACTTTAAGATTGTGATGAAGTCGATGAAGGCCTTAACACGATTTCAGTTTTGTTTGATCTCCGATTCAATTATACTAACATTTTGGCAGCAATTCTGACAGCCCACGAAGAGATGTTGATGCTAAACAAATGAATTGCAAACAAAGCAAAGAGGGCTTCCAATGTAATTACAGTGTAATCTCAAACTGGGGAATGAATGTGATACCACAAGCGACTACTAAAATTTAGGATTTCAACCCTATTTTAGGAAAATGCATCTCATATTAAATCAATAACCAAAATGCGTTCTTTAATATTATCTACTGAAACAAACTCCTTTTTAACCAGAAACTAACTTGTCAACTTGAAAAACAAACAAAACATTCATAGCATGTCCAACTTATCAAGTGCTGATTAAAAATAACAAAATTCTCCACTCCATTGGTGTGCAATCTCTTCCAATTCCTCAACGGTTGGCCTTGGCAACTCTCTCGATTTCATCCTTCTTCTTGATGGCATAGCTGCACAAACAAGAATACCATTAGCATCAATAGAACCGATCAATCCAAATGGAATAGCATAAGAGAGCAGTTCCCAGTTACAAAACAAAACAACATATAAAGTCCCCAAATTACCTATTTGATGATCCCTTTGCAGCATTAATAAGCTCATCAGCCAAACATTCTGCAATAGTTTTAATGTTTCTGAATGCAGATTCACGGGCACCAGTGGTCAAGAGATAGATGGCCTGATTCACACGACGAAGAGGAGAAATATCAACAGCCTGACGCCTGACAACACCAGCAGAACCAATACGAGTAGCATCTTCACGGGGTCCACTGTTGCATCAATCAAAAACAACAAAGCATATAATAATTCAATCTAAAAAAATACAACACCAGCAGATGTATTTAAACATTGCTGCTACATTATACATTTGAGAAAGAAAACACAGAATTTAAGTCTAACACGATACCTGTTGATGATAGCATCAACAATGACTTGAATTGGGTTCTGATCAGTCAGGAGATGAATAATTTCCATGGCATGCTTCACAATCCTGACTGCCATGAGTTTCTTTCCATTGTTTCGGCCATGCATCATCAGTGAGTTTGTAAGCCTCTCAACAATTGGGCACTGAGCCTTCCTGAAACGCTTAACTGAGTACCTCCCAGCAGTGTGGGGAACATAGGTCGCATGCTTGGCAGCTTGGACACCAATGTAGTCACTCAAAGAGATATCAGTGACCTAAAGAAGATAAACCAAATCGTGTCATTGCATACAAAAATTAAATAGTCAAAGGCAACAAGAAGTCATATCCGTAAATTTTTTCAATGCAACTGTCTTAAAGCTTTTCAAACTACAGTTTAACACTAAGCAATTTTATCAGTCTTATTAATCAAACCTACAAAAAAAAAATTGCTTGCTAAATTAACAGTAAGCATAAAGAAACAAAGACAGATTATTAGGAGAACCAATACTGTTACCATATCACAAACTGTACTTTGAACTATCATTAACAGCAAAGACAACAGACAAGTAGCTCAAATCAGAGACAAACAAAATCAAAACAAAATAGGCATTAATATTTCATCAATCTGCGTGATGATAGAAATGGATAGACGAGTTCCACATGAAGTCGACTAGATGATATTATCATAACCATAAGCTCTAGGAAAAAATGTTGTCAAAAACACAGTCAACATCCCTTCACATGAATAACTATTCCATCCATAAAAATCCAATAAAACCAGGATTTTAGTAACAACTACATATTCCTACAAAATCGATTTCCTTTATCACAATTCTCTAGCCCAACTAGATAACTTCTAAAGGCCAAATAATATCTGCAGTTTCAATTAGATAATCCTTACTAGGAAACAAAAAAAAAATCAAAAAGACTAAAATGAGACATATCAGCTAAAAACTAGAGACAAACAAGCAAGAGGCAACAAAAGACAGATCTACGCATAGAATAAACAGAGAGGCATAAAGGAAAAAATACCTGAACTTCCTCGAAGCTCCACCGGTTGAAGAGCTTGACCTCGAAGTGAGGTTGAGTTCCTTCTTGCTGTACTGTCCCGGTGGCTGCCACGGCTGTTGCCATACCTATCCAAATACAAGGAATAAAAAACAAGAATAGACTTGAACAAAAATAAGGAAAAGGGAAGGAAATGACAGAGAAAGAGAGAAGAAGACGACAGAGTAAACACCTGTAAGTAGAGAGAAAGAGAGACGGTGGCGGGTGGCGAGCGGCGAGGAAAGATGCGTACCAGGATGATGAAGTGAAAAAACCCTAGCTGTCTTGGCTTTTATAGCCGCTTCACTAGGTTTAAGAATTTAGATCCTTCCATACATCTTAGTTAAATATCCAAATAACCCCTGAACTATCTTAAAAAGGCTAATTAAACCCATATCTTTTTATTATGTTCAATTAAGTCCTTAAATTTTAGTTTTAATCAAATAAACCGCTTTCATTAATAATATAATTAAAATTTAACATATCATTTTAATGATTGTCAGGTGACAGGTGATTATTACTTAAAAATTGTATATTTACATTTTATCTTACCACGTGTCATAGAATAATTGAATTAATGATTTAAAAAATATAAAAAAATAACTTAATTACTCTATTTAGTTCTTTCGCAAGCAAATAGAGCAATGGATTTGTGTATAAACAAACTAAATCATGCAATCTAAGATTTTTAACCAAACTTATTAAATTATCTTAAAAGTTGTTAGAGAAATATAATAATGTTGAATTTTATTTACTTAAAAAAGGAATTCTCTCTCCCCCATCCTCCACAGTTACTTTTCTTCAACTTCTTCGCGAGGGGAGGGAGGCATTATCATCATGGAATTGTTCAAGCTGCTGACATGAGTGGAAGAGAGATTGAGCGGTCTCTCTTCCCTGGTTGTGTTGAAGACCCATTTTGCAATAGATTTGCTCACTTCCCTGGTTCAAAATTTTCCCCTTCCACAATGATAACAATTGTATATTTTACAACTTTACATGACCAATTTTGGTTTTTATATGGCACATTTTTTTTTAACATGACACATTTGGTTCAGGAAATAAAATTAAAAAAATAAAATAAAAATGTTATTATGTAATTTGATTGATAAAATAAAATAAGGTAAGAATTACTATTACAACTAAATATTACAATTTAGTTGATAAAAATAATTTTAAAATAATAAAAAAAAGTGATAAAAAATAAAAATACCTTTTATTATAATATAATTATTTTTTTATTTTTAAAATATTAACACTTGCATGAGATCTATTAACATTTGCATATGTGGGAATAAAGCATGACCAGAAATGAATAGTATCTTCAAATGATCTTCTAGAAGTAATCGCACTGTGGTGGTTAAACATGGCTTCGTTCCTCTACTTCTAAATGGACCACACAACAATACCAAATAACACACCTTAATGGGTATTACAAGACGAGAAAACCTTCTTTGAAATTTTAATAAACCCATTCAAGCAGATTTCAGTTGTCAGAAGACTCATGAAGATTAGTAGTAATAAAGGAATTCCAAACAAAGAGGGCAATCGCAAATAACATGAATAATTTGACTCATATTTGGTATCGCATAACAAAAGTAAACATGATCACGTGGCCATAACAAGTTGGTTAAAATTTTTATTTATATTATTTGTTTATACAAGTGAAAGATATTGGTACCAAATATGACTAGTGAAAATATGGTAAGAAATAGGATTAGATAGTAGATCTCAATGCTTAATTAATTATATGTTTCCAAATTCCTATGGGTTAACTAAATTTTAACAAAATTAACAAGTTTGAACTTAGCACAAAATCAATCTTCTTGAACTAAAATGAACTTGAAATTGACATGAAAATTAACCCAATTAATCTTTCACTAACAAGTAATTGACCTATTTATTACCAAGGACAAGCTATCAACCCAGTTTACCCCTGTAAAACCAATTACTATTTTTGTTTACAGGAGGTCATTTTTTATTAATTTAAAAATGAATTGAAAAATAGTAAGCAATATTATAAAGAGGAAAAGTAACATGATAAATTATTAAAGAACAGCTAATTTAGTAGGATTGATTTATTTTAGACGGGTATAATCATGTTAAACTAATTTCTTTAGTACCTATTCAATGGAATAAGTTAAATAATTTATCCTTTTTTTTAAGCAGGTTAAATAATCCATGGTAAACATTATAAAACTGCTTTAACTTTATTAATAAGATTATAAAATTGATTATAAAATTGCTTTAAAATGTTACGTTTATTAATAAGATTGATGATTATATGATATATATCTAAAAAATAATCATTTTTAATTTAAACTCTTAACATGCTCTTTATAGAATATATTTTAAGTAAAACATTTTTTATGTTAACTTATTAATTAAAAATTTAAAAACATTTAAAGTGAACTCTTAAAAAATGTATGATATCTTTTCATACTTGTTGAAAATATAATATAATATAATATAAAATACCCTCATTTTCATAAATTTTAATCAAAATTATACAAAAATTTATTAATTTTCAATATAAACACTCTCCCTTAAAAATCCAAACACCATTAATAAAAAATATAAAAAATTAAAATATTTTTTATTTATTAATCTAAAAAATTATTATTATATTTAAAAAAAATAAAAAAAAATAAGAACACCAATCGATGCTCCTAGCTCACCAAGAAAGTGGAGCACCGATGCTTGCCATGGGCTTGACTGGGGCTCCTGGGAGCGTTGGGCTCCCCAGTGGAGCTCCAGTACTCTTGAGACGGAAAACTTTTTTAAATTAATAAAAAATAATAATATTATATAATTATAATTATAAAATTTAATCAAAAATAAAATTATTTTTAAATTTTTACTACATCAGCAAGTTGAGTTGAACTTACATATACAATGTAAAATAATTTTTTAAAATAAAATATTTATTTTAAAAATTAATAAACCTTTATATAATTTTAACTAAACTTTAAAATGTAAAAATATCTTACCCAATAATATATTAATCCGTATTTTGTCGCTAATATCTAACATATACGTTTTGGAGAGAAACACATTTGAATCTAAAAACTTTTCGTCTTGCTTTTGAAAAAATATTTCCAGCACTTTTACATATTTAGAGAAGATAAAATACTTAATAAAAAATAAAATATAGAAAAAGAGTAATTATTGACAAAAGAAAATGTGGCATGACATTTTCTGCCTTCACCCTCCGTCCCCCTCTGTACCACCTACACACTCCTACCGCCGTCTAACGTACTCCATCGCCCTCTCTCTCTCTCTCTCCTTCATCCGTAATTGGGCTCGCATATACATCTTTCTAACACCTTGATACCCTTATCTTCCACGACGACATTGTTATAAAATTAATCACTTTCTCATAGTTATACTTTTTCCACTGATTTCCCTAAAGAGTAACTCAGCTACTTCCTTCAGTTTTTTCAATCACCAAAAGGCACTCAGGCACCTGCTAAAGCCACACCTTCACTTGATAGAATCAGACAGAGCCTTATTCCAGGGCAAAGGGTTTGATTCTCAGTTAGAAAATAGAATCAAGCACATCCCAAGCATCAAGATACAACAACCTTTGTCTTGTGATGCTAAACAATGTTACATTAGGCACCAATCAAATATTCTCAAGAAATAGTAATGGAAGACAAAAATCATAATCTCAAAACCAACTTAGTTCATTCAACAACATAATTAAAGATTTAGGACAACTTATCCATGTAAAACCATTCTCCCCAAAATCCAAGTCTAGGTATGAGAAACTGGCCACTTTCAAAAGTAAAAACAAAACGCGGCAGAAAATAAAAAAACTAGCTAGTACCACAAAACATCAATATCAATGTCACAGAAGATAGAAGGATAATCAACGAAGTCTCCTAGCTTCTCTCTCAGACTCGAGCAGGGTGAGAATATCTCCCTCCCTGACCGGTCCCTTCACGTTCCTCATAATGTAACGGTTCTGATCATCCAAAAACTTGACTCTCACTTGAGTCACCTGACCTCTTGATCCTGTCCTTCCCATAACTTTCACCACCACGGCATGCTTAATTTGGGAATCCATTCTGCAAACAATCAAAACCCATCCTTTTATTCCCGATTGTCCAAAAACTACACCTGTTTTGTAAATAAAATAGGGTACCTTAAACAAGATTATATGATCATAAGCTAACCTAGATTAAGGGTAGCACTTCGGCTCGAATCTAAGATCCTTAATCCTAAGCTAACCTAACTAATAGCCCAAAAAGGTATCTCAAACAAGATTATATGATCATAAATATGATAACCAATTTCAAAATAAATGAAAGTAATCCCAGCTAAAGCACTCACAGAATGGTTCATTAACATCCGAATACCTTCATTTTAGCTACTTAACAGCATAGTATAGCAGATAATCAAGAAATCTATCTATTCTTCAAAACAGGTTAAAAACTTTCTTCCTGAATGAAGGAACTCTAAAGAAAAGATAGATGAAATCGGAGCAAATTTATAGAGAGAAAGAACGCAGCAGATCTAACGTTAAACATAACCAAAGGAAACAACGAAAAGCTGTAACAGTAAGCGTAATCACCTGATAAGACCTTGGCTAAGAGAATACGAGGGTCGGAGCAGAGGGAAGGGAAGCGGCTGCTTCTATAGCGAATTTCTGGGTGGAGAGAAAAGCCCTAGAATTAGGGTTTATATAGACAAGTCTTTTGAAAATACTGTTATGTTCATAGATTTGGTTTCTTAACCTGGGTATTATGGTCACTTCAGCATTTGGTTTTGGGCTTTGGAAATTTATGCGTGGTGTAATTGAGGTGCATCATTGCTGACCGTTTGGTCCTTGATTTGGGCATGTTGGGACCGTCGGATTATCATACTTTTGAATTCTAAATTATGCATTTTTTTATTTATAATTTGGTATGACGACATTTTACATTTTTTTTCTTTTTAAAATATCCTTCCTGATCTTATATTTTTGTTCTTGTTATTAAGTTGCAAAAATTCATTGATTCAACTTTAAACATTATATATTTATGAATTGATTTATTTATATAATTTGATAAATTCTATTCTTAAATTATTTAACAAAATTTTTGACAAATAGTTAAAATAAATACGTAAAATCTAAATAGTATTATAAAAATGATATTTTTACATAAATAAAATCCATTATAATCTTGCATTAAATGTTCCATCCAATTTTTAATTAAAAATCAGTTTTGATTTAGTGGAATTATAGTAGTTGAAAATTAGTTAATGTTATTTAAAATACAAATACATTTAATAAAGAAGATTTCTCAATGAATATAGAACTAAGTTTAAACATTAATGAATATAGAACAAACTTTTTTTCAGTATCAGATTTAGATTTTATTTCTTTAGGTTTTTATATTTTTTGTAATTTCTATATTTATATTAAATATTTCTCTCTCGTAAGTGGATGTATATAATGAAAATCGAACCACTTTAAATATAATTTCTATAGATATGGAATAGGTAATTTTTATTCAAAAAATGGATTTTTTATGAGAGTTTCATAAAGTTGTAAAGGTGTGTGAGGAAAACTGAAAAAATATTGAGTAATATAAAATAGAATAAAAAATTATTTTATGGATTTACACATGATTAAATTTATATTTTTTAGTAATCTTTATATTTATAAAAAAAATTTTATTTTTCCTACATAAATATATACCATGATAAATATTATTCCTTATATGATTTTACTCTAATATCACATTAAATATGTTTTTCATTAAAAATCCTTATATTTTGAACAGCATAGTCACGACCGCTACAAGCTTATTATAAGTCACCATAGGGAAACAAATCTGGGTAGAAAAGAAAATAAGTGGAAAAAAAAGGGTACCACTGCAAAATCATGAACCTATAAAGACCAGAAAATTAATTCTTGGTTGTCCAAAGTCCGGACTTTTTCACTCTTTTTTCTGTCTCTGTAGTTTTTCTCTGTATGGAGCTCTCACTTTCTTACTCGTCTTCTATTGGAATTTCAGCTGTAAATCCTCATTGCAAGGCCTCATCTTGTCAGGCGAAGACAATACCAGCTAAGCTCAATGGCAGGCTTTTCGACTTGTCTTTGAGATGCTCCAGAAATGTGGTGTCAGTTGGGCTTTACAGTCATACAAGTTGCTCAAAACATGTTCCAACTAGGCAATTCAAGCGTAATCCCATCTGGGTATGTCTTGTAATTCCAAATTCTTTGCTCAAGTTGTTGTTCTTCCTTTTGGTTCTTGTTGGTTATGGCTGGGATTAGAGAACAGTCAAAAATTGAATGTTTGTTGAGAATTAGGCTCTGTTTAATGACTTGAACTTTTTGGAATTAGAAAAATGATCCTGTTTTAATACTTCCAATAATCCTACGGTATATTGTTTTTAACTACCTGCTTTTTGCTATTTGTCTTTTGTTTCGTAATAAGTCAATACAAATCAAAAGCAAACGGTAGAAAATGTTTTGCTTTTTGGAAGCAAAAAGCTAGTAAAGCAACAACACACCACTACCTAATTTTAGCTGGAAGTTTTGCTCTCAACGAGCTGAAAATTTTTTATTCAAGTCCATTGATGCTGTTATTGACTTTCATTTACAAAATTTAGAACCCCTTTTGCTTGAGTAGCGGTGCAATAGTAAAAGTTTTGAGCTTGCAAGGTCAACAAAGCTGCTAGCCAATTCAACAAAGTTAATAGAGTTAGGACTGTTTTCCAGTTCACCCCTCGCTGTGCTGTACTTCAATGGAACAATTATTGCAATTTTCTCTTGTTCACTCTTATCTATGAGAATCAATGAGTTTATCTGTGGCATTAATGTAATGTGAATGTGGGTTATGTCAGGCTTGCGGACAAGTTGGTGCTGCTGGGTCTGATCCAATGCTGAACAAAATTTCAACTTTTAAGGATGCATGCTGGAGGTTTTTGAGGCCCCATACAATACGCGGAACAGCTCTAGGATCAGTGTAAGAACTTACGAGTGAAACACAGGTTAAATATGGTGAGTCAATTAATTGCATTCTGTTATACCTTAAGTGAAGTTTGTCGTCAATTCTATTGACAGTGCTTTGGTGGCAAGAGCATTAATTGAGAACTCAAATTTGATAAAGTGGTCTCTGCTGCTGAAGGCGTTCTTGGGAATTGTAGCTCTAATATGTGGAAATGGTTACATAGTTGGCATCAATCAGATCTATGATATTGGCATTGACAAGTATGTGTCACATCTCTGTACAAACATTTTAGTGCTCAAGTAAAAATGTAGATACCTACTTATTTAACATCCTTGACATTTAAATCTGAGCTGCCAAGTAACACCAGTAGAGTTACCACATTTATGTGGTTTAAAACTCAGCAGAAAAAGAGACTGTTATCTAGAATGCAACGTTACTTAGAAAACTCCCAATTCTTTTTATTATTCACCATGTAATATTTATTTTTGAAATTTTGAACTATTTTAAAATGTTTTTTGATTGTAGAGCTGTGTTTTAGGTTTTGATCTTGGAGTCTAGATCATGCAGGTAAACTGTAAAAGTGCATACCTTCTTACAGAAAATTTGAGATTTCAAATTCTGCTTGTTATGTATTTACTAGCAACTTATAAGAGATGAGATGTTAAATATTTCAGTTAACCTTTTTTTATTCAATTTGCAGGGTAAACAAACCCTACTTACCCATAGCTGCAGGGGATCTTTCAGTTCAATCTGCATGGTTCTTGGTGATAATTTTTGCAGTGACTGGCCTTCTGATTGTTGGATCCAACTTTGGCCCTTTCATCACTTCTCTTTACTCTCTTGGTCTTTTCCTGGGCACCATCTATTCTGTTCCTCCGTTTAGAATGAAGAGATTTCCTGTTGCAGCATTTCTCATAATTGCCACGGTATTTATTATTATTTTTTTCTTTACTGAAGCACATATTGCCCATTTAATCAGGACTGAATTGTCAAGAGGACAATAGCGGTTATCTGTTTGCTTTCTAAATCTAAAGTGACCACATGTTAAGTATGGACTAAAGGATTCTCCTGGATAGTGAACGTGAAGCAGCTCACTGCAGAAGTCACCCGAGAGAATTTTAGATGAACCAAATATCATTTTTCTCAGATATCCTTGTGTCAAATAAGTATGATCAGTCACTGGACTAGCTTACTACTCTCAGATCTTAATAGTTGTTGGTTTTGTAAAAAATTACCATAGGGTATATGGAAATGACACCATTTTGCATTGATTGACACGATATTTTAGACTCAAAATATTTTTCATGTTCGCTTCTAAAAGTTCCTTTATTAGACAAAAATTAAGAAATTGACATTTGCAGGTACGGGGCTTCCTTCTCAATTTTGGGGTGTATTATGCCACAACAGCTGCCCTTGGACTTCCATTTCAGTGGAGGTAGGTAAAAATTTATTGCATTTGAATTGTTAATATGTAATTCTTACATACCTTTATGCAATATTCAAACAGATTACCTGCCTTACTATCAATCTTTACCTTCTGACTTGGTTGGTGATTTGCTCAAGGCAAAACAGCCGTCCACTAGTTATAAAACTTTGAGTCAGATTTCAGCCCCAAGGTTTTCAGGGAAACAGCTAAAGTCAAACAGCATGATGCAGTGTACTTTTAGTGTTATTGAAGAACTTTATTCCCTCTGTTTCTAGTTTGGAGACAGTTCAATGATCATAATTGACAAAATTTTATAATTGGGAAAAAAAAAGACGAAGCAAAAAGCAATAAATCTGCTATTCAGCTATCATGATTTTGGCTCAACAGACTGACTTGGTACATAGATCCTTGACCACAAACAAATGAAAAAGGAAAAGCAATCATGTGCTTCTATTGTTTTTCTAACTTAGTTGTGTGTCTTTACAAAAGTATGGGCCATTAGTTCCTTACCTTGGCCTTGATTATCCATGAGGTGCCTCTGAGTTCTTTTCCATCATGCAATGCAGTGGAACCTTTCCTGTACTGCACCCATGAATTCATCCCTCTGGTTAAAACTCCAAAGATTTGCATTTTAATTTTGTACATAAAGGCATCATTGATTAAGAATCTAAATTTTGTTTAGGAAATTCATTTACCTAGTAAATTTGAGGTTTAGCTGTTTCTATACATGTTTAAAAAAGGTTGAGAGAGCTATACACATCCTTGCTCTATATTCTTCTGCAGTGCACCTGTGGCATTTATCACAACCTTTGTAACATTGTTTGCGCTTGTTATCGCCATAACAAAAGATCTTCCAGATGTAGAAGGAGATCGCAAGTAAGTTGTAGAACAAATTTAGTTATATTGTTGTTTATTTTTGTTCTTGTCCATTTGACATTGTTGATATCACATTTCCATATGCCCCCAGTTGAGTTTCCTTCTTCAGTTGTAAAATATTAGTTATGTTTTTCTATGGTTGTTCAAACCATAGCTTCTTGTCTTGATCTTCCCTTAATGAGCCTCAATTTCCATCTTGCTTTCCCTTTTTGGAAGTTTCTCCTCTCTATTCAGTTTGAAACCTATCCTAGTGTTGTTGTATCGTGCCTAACCCTACATTTTTCTATATCAATATTTGTTTGATGTCTGTTTGTACATTTACAGATTTCAAATATCAACATTAGCAACAAAGCTTGGAGTTAGAAATATTGCATTTCTTGGTTCTGGACTTTTACTGGTGAATTATGTTGCTGCTGTGTTGGCAGCAATATACATGCCTCAGGTTAACAAGTTGTACTACTTTAGCCTGTCTTCTCATTCACTATAATTTATGCCCAAAATTAGTGCTTAATTTGTGTAGCTCATGGAAGCAGTTGAGCATTTGTTTGGATATTTTATATTTATCTTCAAGGGAGATTATGTGTTACAGGTTTTCAGGCGCAGTTTGATGATACCTGCTCATATCTTCTTGGCATTGTGCTTAATTTTCCAGGTGTGTTTCCTGTCTTTATGACTTTTCTAATAAAATAATGACCAGGAACCATATGATTTGTTCTTCATGATTTTTCATCCATACTTTTGATTTGAATCATCCTCCCTCCCGCTTTTCTAATGCTCCAAAATGCCAGATATCTCTTTCTGGAGTTTTCTAGATGGTACTTTTGATTCAGAGCAATGATTAACATTTACCATTAGTGTTTTTGTTCTTAACCTATTCTAAATATTAAATTAAATTCCAGAAATGGACATTCTAAAAGGAATTTGTGTTAAAATAACAATTGCTCCTTTCTGAGTAACGGTTAAGAATGCCACTGATTTTTGTTTGTTTCTCAATTATGATCTCTAATGTAAATTTTATTTTAATATTGGTTCAGGCGTGGGTGTTGGAACAAGCAAATTACACCAAGGTAATGTCTAACTTCTAATAGATCATACCACGGTAGCACCATTTGACCTGCTATATACTCTACTTGCATAAAGTTTTCAATTTCAGCAATTAACAGAAGAACACATAGCAAATGGTTATAAATACTACAATCCAAGTGGAGTTATGGTGTTCATGCTCTTTTTTGGCAACCTAATTGACTAAACATATAGTACAAACTGACCTTTTAGAAATTGAAACTGGCATACCATTTTTGTTAACTGTCAAAAGGGGCATGCATTTAATTTAGTTTGGTTTGGATTTTGAAACATTTATAATGATATACTTGAACCAAATTATGGACTAAACAAATATGTATATGCATCTATTTTGTTTCAATTATATATTGAAAATACTACTACTTATACTGATTTTCCATTGGCACCCGAGCATTTGGCTCATTGGTTGGTATATGATCCCCCTACACAAAGAGCAGGGTTCAAATCCCCCTTCCCCCCAATTATATAAATATATATATATATTGATTTTCCATTGGTCCTGTCATCTTCTCTTACTACACTCTAATGGCTACATATCTGCCCGTACTTGTTATGGAAGCCCTACAACTGGCTGATACTCGTAGTCAGACCATAATTGTTTTGCTCAAGTGCACTAGATACATTTCACTGGGAAACCTTTCACATGTGGGATGCACCCTAGTTTAGTTCTGTAAAAAAGTTTAGTCAGGATCAGAGTGGTTGGAAATTTTCATATCAGAAATAAAGGTTGTGCTTCATATCCTAGAGATGGTTACTATGTGTATAACTATATAGTGTATATCATTGAGACATTATGAAGCAAGCCTATAGGGTCTGTCCTTTTGCAAATCATATATCTTTAAAGATTTAACTGCCTGAAGCATCCTTCAGTATTCCTGCATGTGTGATGACTAGTTTAACTGCAGATTACCAGCCTGTACAGACTTTGTTTTAACTACAAAATGAATGGTCATGTCTGCATGACAGAATTAGATATTTAGCAACCTGTAGCAATAAATAGTCTATAAATCTATGTCAGCCTCTCAGCCCTCTGATATTTTCACTGTTAACAACTGCCTGATGTTTGAACGTCTCTAAAGCCAACTGGCTCACGCCTATGTTACATGGTCTCGAGATAGGGTATTGGTGCCCATCACGGGTACACCATGCTTTTTTATCCTTTTTTACCTAAATTTTGAGGATCCAAGCATCATATCCATAAGAATGATGAAGTGTCCAAAAAAATGTTGGACATGGGTACATTAAGGTAAGGTGAAGAGTCCATGTAACATAGGCTAATGGTTTTAAGGTTCTACAAATGTGTTGGTGTGGCAAACATTTTTTTATATCAATTTAATTAAACTTCAAACTGCAACAATCCTTCATATGTGGGGATTTTTCTGGATGCCAACAGGGAGCATGAGAATTTGGTCAATACCTGATTTTATGTTTGATTGCAATTTGCAGGAGGCAATCTCAGGGTTCTATCGCTTCATATGGAATCTGTTCTATGCTGAGTATGCCATTTTCCCCTTTGTCTAGAAGACTAATCTTTACTCTTCATAATTTTGTTTCTCGATTTTTTGTTTTCCACAGAGGGAGACTAGTTATGTAAATATCTAAATGATTTTCCCATTTCATTTATGCATTTTGTAGCAACCCTATCTTGTATCAGTTCTTTCACAAAATCATGCAAAGAAATAAGAAAACAAAGTTTGATCTTATTTTAACATAAAAGTGTTATACTCCAATTGAAAGAACCTCTTAGTTATCCCAGCCTAGAGTGTTCCATGTGGCTCATCATGAATGAGGCATCTTTTCAGCACTAATGGTGTAGGCATGATGGTTGCAGCTGCATGACTATGTATAAGTGTTCAAAATAAGTAGGATCAATTTATTAAGTTGCTATTTAGCCCAAAAAAAAAAATTTAAATTGCTAGATGTTGCTTCTTAAGCACTAATTGACTTGACTCAGGCAACTAGATGTTGTGGAAACTGGGGCTATGCAGCTATGTTCGATCGTCTAATATGCAGGTTTCGGTCCTTGTCAACAGTCAATTTCCCTTGTGGGATGGGGCAGGGTGTTGCTTGGGTTCGAACCCAAACCTACATGCCTTTTAAACGGTCCTTGTGCCACCAGGTGATGTAGAGAAAGGCATCTGACTAAGAGTGAAATTGACTGGCAATTTTCTTCAAATTCTGGAAGCCCTTTCACTCCACGGCTGTGCAGTTTTTGTTTCATTGAAGAGGCTGGATCATAACATTATACATTGCATGCTGTATGGGAAGACACTCATACATTTGGGAAATGTCGGCACAAGCGACAGAGCATCTTTTACTTTTAACTTTTGTGGTCTTCTGTTAAACTATGTTCAACCCATTTGTGTTCTATAAGGTTAAGAGATTACATAAAGATCAACTTTAAAGCATGCTCAAGATGTGGGACCGAAAACTATGTGAACTATCACCATAGGTATCATGATCCTGACTGTTTCAAAAACCATAAGAAGACTACTTCAACAACTTGCACTTATCTTTTCTATCACTATTTTTGGACAGTAGATTTTTAACTTGAAAGTGGAGCATAGATGCATACAATATCATTAAGATCAACCTTCAGACGCTGACAAGTCTGAGCACATTCCAAATTAAAATTCTCATTGCTTCTGAAATTTCCAGGAGTTGTTTCTCTTGGGTGATATAGGAATCTCCTTTTGAGGTCAATGTAGGATTTATAAATCTGCTGATAACTCAAAGGGCAGACAAACCTAATAGCTCATCCAATTCATCTTCTCATTTTCACCATAAGATCTACTGGAAAAAAAATAAAAGAAATATGCAAAAGAAAGGCTCAAAAAACCAGAAAAGAATCCTATATCTTCTTCTCTAACCACAACATGCCAGAATCACACTTTCATCTAAAACTTGCCTATGCTTTTGCTTTTGTGACACTACAACTTGCTCAGGATGCAAGGGGACTTCTAGATGAACTTGTTTCTTTATGTAATGAAGTTGGAGTCATGACCCTTGGGCTAAAACGTGATGTTGTCCGAGGAGATGTACTAGCACTTCTCGGTCTTGGAGACAAGTTTGCTTGCTCTAGGACCCGGACCTGAAGCTCAGAAGGATAATCCCTCATGCAGCTAATCCGTGGCCCAGCCCCAGTAGACCACTTGAGAATAATTGTTGAGCTAGTTGATATGACTTCATTCCCTTATGCGAGTCTATCCTTTTCATGATTTTTTCCTTTGGAATGGGCTTCTCATCTTCCTCATCATCATCTTCACCATACAAATTGATCTTAGTGAACATGAAATCTTCCTCAGACAAAAATTCTTCCGCTGTTTCATAGCCATCGTCTGTAGGGGATTCTGGACGTTCACAGCAGCAGCTTGGTGGCAATGCTTGTGTCTTAAAGATGTCAAACACATCATGTCTTGCTGGTATTTGAAGTTTACTTATTTTTGATAATGATCCTCGAGACAATCTTGACATGGATTTTCGCATTTTCTGCAGCATCACAATCTTGCTTTCTTGAATCAGTCCTCATGAGCTGAGTTTCACTGTTTGTGGCCTGAGTCTGCTGCAAGCTTCTCTGCTTATTCTGATTCTATTCTTATCTGGTGATGGTTCTTCCTCTTCGGAAGGGCTTTTCTGTAAACCATAAGAAAGAACTGCATCAGTGCCCAGCCCGTACACTAATTATAGGTGAGCGGACGTTTTGGCCAAAGAAATATCTACTACAACCCTGGAAAACAAAGTTCCCACAGAAACAGAGGCGCAAAAGAATTTCATGACTTTATGGACCAAGTTGAGAATAACAGTGAAGGTTAACTACACATTGGGTGCCGTACTGATTTTCGTTTTAATCCCTTGAGCACATGGACATTCATTTTGCAAAGCACCCCCTCCAACAATCCCCAAACAACCATGTGCTCAACTCTGCACCGCACATCATACTGCAAGAAGTTTTGGCTAGGAACAAAGATGCATCTTCTTCCTAGTGATGTGAATAGCTAGGGAGAGTGAAAATTACCTTTTGTGCTAATCATTTTACCCTACAATAGGACTTTGCTCTCCAGTATTCCTGAAGATTTAAGCTAAAATAAGAGTTGGAAGGATCAGTGTTCTTTACCTTTACATTTGTGAGGTCAACATTGTGTTCCTGAAGAAATGACATGAACTCCAAGAAATTCTCTTCTGTTGGGAGGTAGTGTCCACTGTGGGGCCAAACAGCCTATCAAGTTGAAAGATCATTTTAATACATCAGAAGCCCTACACAAATTAATAGATGATTCAGCTATCTTAAAAGATAAAAACATTTCTTGCCTACCTTCAAAACACCGTCTTCCACAACCAATCTTCCGGCAGATAATGTTGCTCCACCGGCCAGAAAACTTGAGTGCTGAAAAGTGCCCTTTTTCTTCTGTCCAACATACAAAATCTTAAAAGCACTAAGAACAAAAATCCACTTAGTATCTTTTGGTCCGCCTGTGGTATCAAGAAGTGTCCCAGTCTGCTTGTAGACAAACTTGCCATTCTTTATTACATTTCATAAGCCTCCCTTTCTGTCTGTCTGCAAATAGACAAAATTTATTGGCAAACAGATTTCAACTAATTAGACCATTTTTTATGACTCACTTAATATTTATCCAAGTCATAAAGGAAATCATGAAATTGAATAAACTTTAATAACTTATGCCCCTATCCTACCATATTTTTGTTCCTGATTTGAGGTTTTTATAATTTTGGATCCAACGTAAGGGCAAAACCCACACTTACATGCTCTGCAAGCCAATATAGTTAAACAAAAATTGGAAAGGAAGATTGACTCACAGGACCAAGATACTTGATGCACTGCTGTTGAAGCTTCAACCGTGGGCATTTTTCAAGATTGACTTCTTTCCCTTCTCCTATATCAAGCCTGCATGTTCAAAAGTTGATAGATTGTTTTTGCAAGTTGTTGGGATGCAAAAATCCTTTCCACTTTTTTTTTTCTATTGTTGGTCCAATAAAATCTTACCAATAGAAGAAGGGCTGTTTGCTGTCACAGTGAAGCCATTTGGCATAATAAAATTGGAGATTATGGCCGTAACGATGCCTGGGATCAATCTATTCACAACAAGAAACATGATCAAGAAGAGCCATAAATGAAAATTAGCAGTTGGTACAAACGTTTCATTCTTAGAATGGTAATTACCGCTTCAAGCCAGTGCTGCAAAGCAAGCTTCCGAGCCTTTTCATCCTTAGATAAACCTTTTCCCACCTGCAAAAGAAGACAACACTCACAACCAGCATTGTAGCCAAATGCATTTAAGAGCGTGCACCGCCTTCTTCACAACTCACCTTGGCAGCTCTGGTTCTTGCTCTAGACCATCGTGAAATGGCAGTCTCGGGTTTTTCGATCTCAAAGAATGATATAGAGCTTCGCTTGAGTTCAGCAAAATCTAACAGCTTCCACCTACAAAATGGATAAAAAAGGTTTAAATATGGTTAAAATATGAGGAAAGAAATGCTTGGACACCAAGAGACATGAAACCATTTCATTTGTTTCATTTTCATGGTTGAAAAAGATGGATTGATTTCATGTCCATCTGGTATCCAGTATCTCCTTGATAGAATACGCAGAAAATGATACAAACCATCTCTGCTCGACAACAACTGCACAATCTGCTAGCTGCCTCCTGGTCCGGAAACTCTTGTACACCTTTTGCAACTTTAATGCAGCCTGACATCTTCGCCCTCCCAGATCTGAAACTTGTGAATGAGGCTTTTTCTCAGTCAAGCTGTTTGATCTCCGCAATATGTTATGGTTATTCGCATTCTTACAGCTCTCCAGTCTAACAGACAAGTTATTTTTCTTTTCTGAGCTAGGAGCATTGCATGAGAGCATGGTCTCTGTTTCTCTCTTGTTTAAGCTTAAAGATCCTTCAAGTATCATCTTCCTAGAACCATATGATTGCATAACTTTTGGCTCTGAAACGCGGCCATTGAAACTGACTGATCGCAATGCTTTCTTCACATCCTCATCCTTAAAACTGATTGATTTTACAATAACAGCTTCAAAACGGCTATCCAGATCATCAAGATCACTAAGAGGACATGAAAAGGTTACCCCCATGTTACCAAAATATCTTCACATATAAAGATCTCAACCAACAAGATATATGGGGCCCCAATACCTGCTAATATAAACAAAAAGAAGATAAATTGTCAAAAATATTCAAGAAAAACTATATATAACATTATTTTTTGGTTTAACGGTGATCACAAATGAGCTACTAGCGAAGGATTCTGTTAATTCCATGGAATCTTGAAACTCTTAATATTTTTTAGCATTACACATCCATTCATCACTCTTAAAATTTCCTTTCATTTATCCAGTTAAAGTTCTTCAAAGAGAACGAGGTCATTAAGATACATGCAGAGAATGCGTTGTTTGATGTTGCAACTTGCAAATGGGTTTTAACTCATCAACATATTTGAATCAGAACAGATCTTTCTTAAAAGGAGCAAATGCCATTGTGTAGGAAGCCATGTGTCAGATGTAGCCGAATAACTTTGAATGTTTCATCCCTACTCTCTGCCTATACTTGAATGTTTCATTGCTCTTTAGAATGATATGAAATAAACACAAAGAAACAGAAACGTAACAAAAGTGTTAGAGGAAACCATTTACCTTGTGAAAAAGTTTATGTTTGCACCAATTAATTCACTTAGATTTCAATGAAATGGGATAAAAACAAAAAACCAAAAATCGAAACATTGAATGAAACAAAAAAAAAATGTGGGTTGTAACACTGCTAAATCAATGAAACAACAAAATAAGTAACAAAAACCCAGATGACAAAATTTCTCCTCTCATTAGCTTTAATGTAAAGAGAAATACCAACACAAAAAATGTTGGTTGTAACATTGATAACTCAAAGGATACAACAAAATAACAAAACCCCAGAAGACAAAACATCTCCTAGCTTGAGCTTTAATCCAAAGAGAAAAACCAACGCAAAAATGTGGGATGTAACATTGACAAATCAATGCAACAACGAAACAACAAAAATACCCAGATGGAGAAAGGAAAAAGATAAAAGTTCCTTTCATGCCTATGTTTACATGTTAACCAAGAATGCACAGCTTAACAAAGGCAGAGGAAACTTTACCTCAAAAGTCCGAGAAAGAGAAGCAGAGACAAGAAATGAGTTGAAGGAAAGAGTAGGAGAAGAAGAAGAAGAAGAAGAAGCAAAGAAAGGAAACCAAAAAGCGTGGCAAAAAAATGGGGACTTTGGGTTAGGTACCAAACGTGGGAGAAAGCGAAGAATGTGGGGATGGTGGTGATTCAGAAACAGGGTGGCCTTTGCCTTTGTGTTCGAGAGAGATTTCTTGTTTTCTTAAAATCTCCAAAAAAGAAAAACTAAAGTTGGTGTCTGTCTGAATCTCTCTCTTATGCTATTCTTGCTTGCCATGGCTATTTATAGGAGAAACCGGGAGGGAAATGTTGGAGCCAAAGGAGAGAGTATAGTGAGGCCATGTCCAACCAACCACGTATTAATTTCTTCTTTGACTGCCACACAAAGGAAATTTCTCCTTCCTTTTCCCTAATGGGAACAGCTCTCTGTAATCTAAAGTATTCATTTACTTTAAATCATAATATTTGTTAATTAATCTTGCTTTTAATCCCATTTTTATTCCTAATTTAACTTTTCTCTTTTCACAATCAAGGAGGGAGGGTTCTTAGCTTATACTTCTACTATTTATGAAAAAAAATTAAATAAATAAATATAATAAAATTTCCTATTCTATGATTTTGTTATAGAGATTCAAAGCATTTACATATGTGATTTAATAGTAAGTATAATTTTTTTTATTTAAATAACTGAATTTATTTTTCTTATTAACGAAAAAAAAAAAAGATAAGAAAGAAGTTCGTGGACGGTGAGATACTCAAAATGATAAATATTAACTAAAATTTATTAAATAGCTAATAATTTTTAAAAACAGATTTGGTTGCATTAAACTAATTGGTTTAGGTGAACTATTGAAGGAACATGTTGGGATGGAAAAGACTAATGACGATATATAATAACTTACCACAAATACTTGTTCAACCTCTCTTCATTTGTATTTTAGTAGTGACGGTAGACTTTAAAAGTCTCCCTAAAAAATTAATTAAAACTCTCCTCTTATCCTGTAAAGCTTTGCCACTTGGTTTTGTTCAAAGTGAAGAGATAAAATTAATAGTATTAAATATAAATTATACAAAATTTAAAGGTTTTATGTTTGATGAATTATGTTTATATATAGACTTAGTATAAGTATTATGTATTTAAGTGATGTATAAGTACTGTATATTGATGATACATGAATAATAAATTCATGTTCAGAGTGTAATTTCATAAGTAACCATGAATGAGATGCTTGGCTAGAAGTTTCCAAAAGAAAGAAAGTACTAAAGAATTATGGGAGTATTATACATTGGTAGATTCAAGTAGTCAATGCTCCGCCAATGCGCCGTCTCCTGCTCTCTACTTCTTGTACCGAAAAGTACAATACGCTTTAAAAATATTGTTTTTTATTTTTTTGTCTGAAAGAGAAAAATATTCGTTCCACGCGTTTTATGATCACGGCCGATGGCCAGAGACGAGTTTATCAACAACTATTGGAGGGTAAGATTCACGCCCAATGAGATGGATTGAGATTGGCATGGCCATTACCGTCAGCTGGCGTGATGATGCCAACTGTCCTATCGAATTCCCATGCAAGGTTGTGCTTCCCTGTACTACTTAGGAACCGTACGGGAACCTTTCTAAACCAAACCCCCCAGTGTCTCTTCTTTCTTTACTACGGGTCTTTGCCAAGTTTTACTGGATTCCCCTTTGGTCTTTTCATCATTTTTGTTTCTTTTTTTGTTTAATTATTTCACTATTTTATGTTTTTAAAATTTTTTTGTTACTGATAAGAAAATAATTTAAGATTAAACATTATTCATTGTAATATACTAACAATGTAATTATTATTCTAATTAAAAAAATGTGATTTTGGGTTTGAGCAAATAATATTGACATTAACATGAAAATTGCATAAACAAATATAAAATAATAATATTATATCTTATAACATCACATTTGATCGAGTACAATGACAGTTAGGGATTAATTGATCTAAAAATAAAAGCAGTTTGTGACAGGTTTATATGCATTTCAACGAATTGAGTTCAAGCAATGGCTAAAATCGTAAACCGAAGCTAAACAAGAAAAGTTGAAATACAGAAACAATTTGTTTCTACCCAGCTAGATTCATACGTGTCATATACCAAATATGATAGTTGGCAACACAAGCACAAGGAGTAGTGATGAAGAACCTATGGTGATGGGTCAAAGTTAGGCTTGAGGGCTATATATATATATATATGAAACTGTTTCGAGGTGACTACAGACTGTAGCTCGAAAGAAGAGGATGAAGGCAAAGCCCAAAAAGGGCACTGCCGGGAGTCATAATAGAAAACATGTACAAAACTTGTATGGCTGAGATTTAGATTAGACACAGCTGTAAGTAGTGTAAGTTAAATTTAGTTTAGTCCAACAGAATCCACGGTCTCTGACGAAAACTAGATATCTTTATGGTCCAACGCGCTTTGTCTCTGAGAGTGAGAGTGAAAGCACCACCGACACATCGCTGTCTCCTTGCCCACTGCCTCCAATCGCCATGCAGGCTCACTGTTTCATCACCACCCTCGCCTAAGCTCGGTTCTTCATCACCACCCTCGATTAATCTACTTATGATTCAATTCTATTCCTATTTTTTGGCAATTGTTTTTTCTGACCATATATATATATATATATTGATATCATATTGAATTTTTGTTGAACCTTTAAGAATATTCTTACACAAATGACCAAATTGTTTCTTTTGGTGTAATTGAAGATCAATTTGATAAACCTTCAAATAAAATTCAAAAGTTTTCCTATTCTTAGTGTTGAGATTAGGGAAAAAAATGTATAGCACTTAAAAAACCCTCTAAATTTTTTTTAAAAAAATTTAAATAAGTTTTGTTATTGCATTCAATTAAGGTTTTATATTATTGCTTCAAGTCAAATACTTATTTATAATTAGTAGTTAATTATTTGTAATTAATCAAAATAATATTTATCGTTTTCATGATACGTGATGTTGATATGTCATAATGAATGATAAAATATCAACATTATTACATGATAATTTCACTTTTCATATCAATGTCATATATATATATATAAATAATAAATATTAATTGAATCGATATCAAATAATAAATATTTAATCATAAAAATCTATTTAATTTGGAATGACTAAAGAAGGAGAAACAAGACTTTTTAACCCAACGTTTACTCTTCAAATCAAATTGAAAACGATGAGAAATGGATAAGAAGGATCTGTGCAAAGCCCGTTCAAACTCTTTCTTTTTCTCCATTTCCTTTTCCATTCCCTTGAAGATTAATAACCCAAAATTTTCCCATTCCAATCCAACTCTTCGGTCAACAAGGAGAAACCATCCAATTCTCTAGAAACTCTCTTCCCACCCCATTTAAAAATCAAAGTCTTCTACTTAGCACTTTCAACTGAATTACCAGTCGTCTTTGGGTCACTTTCCCTCCTAATTACAGTTGGAAAATCTGATTTTCCACAGCTTTCTCTCTTTTTCTTTTGCTTTCTCTTCGAAGGCTCACGTTTCAACTACGTTTACACTATATCCGGACGTAAAATCCAAGGTTAGAATGTTGAATTTTGAATATGATTAATTGGTTGAAGCTGAACTCTTTCCATTTCTTTAACAATTCAGTGCAGATATCACTTTCAGAGGAAAATGGATAAATTCCATCTTAAACTTTTAATGGTGGAAAGTTGGAATCGGAACCAACGGGATTGGTTAAGCAATAAATGTAGCAGTTTAGTTATCTACTCCTAAATGAATGTCGTTTGGTAAGGAAACATCATCGTTTCATTGTCTAAAACATTATCCAGACTTGTTTGGTACGTTAGAAATTTTTTTTTTTTTGGATAAATTTTTAGAAAAATATCTATAGTTTGAGAATATTGAGTAAATTTGTCTCGTGAGATTTAAAATTTAACACTAAATTATCTTGAATTTATTTTCGTTAGTTTTTAACTTACCACTGTTATTTTTATTTCAATATTTTCGGTTTTTATTTTATCAATGCAATATAGAAAATATTCTAGTCATTTTTTTTCTTAATAATGGTAAGAAAAACTTAACAAAGAAACAAAAATAGCATATTTAAATGTTCGATTTTAAAATTTAATTTAAACTATTTTTTTTTTCATAATGAATGTGTTCTAGAAGAAACACTAAAAAAAAAGGTATAATTTTTATCATTTTACATTCGGTGAAGAGATAAAAGAATTACCATCCTATACCATGGTAATTCTGTAAAATTTTTTTACAGTGTTTAAAAATTTTCACCGCTGATATAGAAGATAATTTATTTAAAAGGATTTCTTGAATGAAATGTGAAAATTAATTTTCTTTCACTCTTCCAACATTTCAATTTAGAACTATTTAATTTTATAAAATAATATGACAATCCCTTTTTTCTCTTAATATATATTCAATGAGAGGACCTTAAGCCTTAAGGTTTAAATTGGGCCTTGGCCTATAAGCTGAATTTACACATATATATATATATATATAGATTAGCCCTTCAAATTTGGGCTTTAAATCAATTTAAACCAAATGATGTTTAAGTGGCCCAACAAGATTAAAAATTTATAAGACATAGCCCAATTTATTTGCCCTATATAT